CTCGTGACGTTTCATGATCAGCGTTTCACGGCCCAGCCGAATGCCGTCTACAGTGAATGGGATTGACGGCCACAATTAGCGGTAAAAACACTTCTAAGAACAGTTGCACATCATTACTACGGCCGGGATAGCCGTTACGGACCCTTCCGCATGCAATTCACAGATCTCCATCCTAGCAATATATTCGTCGATAGCGACTGGAACGTCACGGCCATAGTTGACCTTGAGTGGATCTGTTCTCGACCCGCGTCTATGATCGATATCCCATACTGGATTTCTGGTCATGCGATCGATGAAATCGGGGAAGAAGCGATTATAGACCATTATCGTGCGAGGCGAGAGGACTTTATGTGCATTCTCGACCGGGAGGAGCTTTCTCAATCCGAGCGCACCGGGCAGCCAGCTTTTCTGGGTGAAACTATGCGGCTCGCATGGCAGACTGGTGCATGTTGGTTTGCGCATTGTTTGGACTCCGTCGACGCCATGTACCCTCTATTTGACCAGCATCTTCGTAGAAGATTTACTTCATTTTCACTTACGGAGAACATAGAAAGACTGATCTCCCGATTTTGGATGGAAGGCGTGGATGATCTAGTCGAAACAAAGCTTTCGCAGCGAGCGGAGTATTTATCGCGCCTCACCGAGAAGTTTCAAGATGGGGGAGATCAAGATGGCACTAAGAGACTGGAGGGACAGAAATGCGAATAGCATACTCCCATCTGCAACATTGCAGCAGCTGTGCTTTCCTGCCGTCTGCTCGACTAGGAGTTAATTCCAAATATGTGAATAACCACTGGAAACTGCAGACACCGAAGTACATGCTGGCCGGACTCGCCCGACACAATTTGTTAGCGACCCCCGAATATGAACACGGTTCAACATCGTCGTAATTTACATCATCACTAGTATTCTGCTGTCATTTCTGCCTTTTCTACCCCGTCTAGCCTTCTCTCCAGATGATAGAGCGAGGAAAATATCCTGCCGATTACCGAATATGGCAGGAGAGACCTCGTCTTCGATACCACTGTAATCACTCGACGAGACTTCTTTTGTTTTGGCTGGGCCGCACGCAATTCTCCCGAGGAGTGGATCCATCGAGTTAAATCGTGGCTCAAGTCTTGCGTGCTAGAGGTCCTAGCAATGGATCTCGAGACGAAAGGGGAAGGGAGGATTAGTCTCAGCTGATACTAGCACGCAGCGCAGAACTCGGCGGAGCAGCTGTATATCGAGGGGAGGGAGGTTAGAAACGAAAGCCCCAATCTTGCTTCTTTTTGCTTTCCAGTTCGCTTTGCTCGAAGGTAGGGAGTAGATTCAGATCCACTGCCCTTCTGGAACATAGTGACCCCCATCATTATCATGACAGGTCCTTCTGGAAGCTTGCCTATTGGATCGGCATGTCTCGCCAATGCAGTGCTAGCCCAGAGCCTTCTCTTTCTCGACCTCCTGCCCATGGAGCTGGCTCTGGTCCTCCTTGGGAGTGGGGAAGGCGTGCATCCCAATCTCCGCAATTGCAGAATACATCAGCCTGGCTACAAACCCTCGATGGACCGCATTCCCCCTTTCCTGACCCACCATTAATCTCACTTCTCCTAAAGGCCACAAGCATCGCGGCAACATTATGTCGGCATCTGCCTCTGCAGACGTGGTTTGCCAAGCTTGACGGACTCGCAACAGGTCCGTCCCTCCTCACTGCCGCTGCGATCTGAGAAATTATCTGGAACCATTCATTGGCAAGTCAGAAACGAGCGGTAGCTTTATTTTGTCGCCGATGCGTTCATGGAGGGACCTCATCAGCAATAGGAAGCCAATAGGAACCGAGATGTCCGGGGACTGTGATGTGATGTTTCCCCTCCAACCAACGGAAAGGGATTGTCTGTTATGACAGATCATATCTTACTAGAGATTTATGTGCATCGAGAATGTCAGTATCGCAGGAGTTGCTCGTCATTCCCCCGATCGGACTACGTTCTTCGGATCTGGGCAAGCCTATCGAGACAGGCAGCATTAATCCTAGACGGCATTGATGTAGAAGACAGCCATAGACCTGAAGCGATCGGCGGCTAGGCCAGCCCCATCCTAAGGGAGCGGAAGGGAACATCCGTAGCGTATTAATATGACCCATGCAAGCGGCAATGTCCAAATATATCCCCCAACGGACAAGAGCCCTTCCTTGATGTAAGTTGGGGGGGCCTGTGTTGAGATGGTGTCGACGATGGTCGAATGAGAGGTCGGCAGGAGAGAAACCGGGTATGCAGTGGATTGCCTTTTCCTCACGGGTTGCCCCATTCATCCTCATCCTTCTCTACAGGGGCCGTGAAGGTCAAGCCTTGCAGATCTATCGCGCACTCCTACACTCTTGAGAGTGCCCGCACGCGTCATTCATCAGAACACGTCATGAACGCCTACGCTGCACGTATTGACCCCAGTTAACGTTAACATGCCTGGACCAGGATGAGAACGAGACCCTCTTTCCTCCTACCGGAATCCTCCGATCTCGAAACTAGAATAGGACATTTCCGCCAAAAGGACAAAGCAAAATGCGTCCCCGGAGAAATCGATATGTTACCAACATAAATAGCTGCGTCCTGCGGGGGCCATGGAAAACTAGCGATTCCACCAAGTCAAGTTCTGGCTCAACCAAAAACAGTGGCCAGGCTTGGTTTTCTTGCATAGAATACTTCATAATAGATCCGGGGCCCTTCGTCTACTCCCCCCCTGCAAGCAAGCCATCACTAATATCTAGATTGGTTCACCTGCAGCTAGTGAAGGCCACAACATCACCTCGCTCCAAACCCAGGGAAAGAAGCAATTATTTATATAAAGGCCGCTCGGAAACAATGTACTCCGTACACTAATCGGAGCGGCGATCCCTTCCTTCCTCGTCTTGCTCTGCAGGGCATCGACTGATTCTTCTGTTCGGATGTTCTCCGTTTTGACGAGAGAAATCCCAAGATCCATTGTGGTGTCACCCACAACCACCCTCGACGCATGAAGGAAGTGTCATGTTGTTGCGGGGGTGATGCTTTTTTTTCTTTTTTCTGTTCCTTCCCTCCCGTTCCCTTTCCTTCCCACCACTTTACCATACCTTTGATAAGATCTTTTTTTTACTCTTCTCTATTCGTCAACCCCCCCTTTCCATCCCCAATGAAAAAGAGGGAAGAGTCGAAAGAGGGTGGGGGGCTCGGAAGTGCTACCAGGGATAGCTGACACTGTTGGGAGGAAACTCTTGAAGTCTCTGATCCTGGATCTGAGGAATCGTCACTCTAGGGTCCAGACCGGACAGAAGAAACCCCAAGAAGCTAGTATTCTACAACCTGTAAAGCTGGCTGCTGCAGAGCAGGTTCGAAAGAGTGGTTAAAATCGGACCACTCTTACCCTCAGCGAGCCACATCGCGGAGATCGAATGTTCGAATGTCATCCTTCGTTGGGTCTCTCCCCTGAAATGAAAGTCCAAAAGAACAAAAAAAAAAATTAAATAAAATAAACAGACTCGCTGTTATACGGGCTCAATCGCCCGCATGCATCTGCAGAGAAGTGGAATTCCAAGCGGTGCAGTCACATTTTTTTTTCCCGGTTCCCCGGTTTTATGAACGCAAAACCTAAGCGAGACGCGAGCCGAGCCTTCTTTTGGCTACCATTTCGTGCCGGTTTCCCATGTTAGTCTCTGGGCCGACTAGGAAATATTCCCGTCCGGCTCCACATGGACGCCCTCTCCATCGGGCCGTCGTCCTCGGGTGAGTGTTGGAGAGGCATTGGCTTCATGGGCTTTGATGAGCACAACTTCGGCTTAGAAATGGACTGGCCAGCCGCAGGCCAAAGTCAACAAATATTGGGTTCTTCATGCCGCTGTCAGGGGGGCATAAGTAGGCCGCCAATCTGTTCCTACCAGATCACATTTCCCATGGAGCACTTCGTCGTACATGGTTGGCTATCTCTTGGGGTGCAGAGGGTCGGTGATGCGAAGAAGCAATGAAGATGTGATGGACCAGGTCACCACTTTTGATATTAATAGAATAAAAACTATGCGGGCCGAAGGTCGCATAATATCAAGCTTCGCTTCGATAATCAGTTATAATATGAAGAAACTGGCGACGGAGGAATGGGCTATTAAGAGTAGCTGGACTGAGCCTCGACGAGTCCGTTCTCTGTCTTATGACGTCCTCAGTCAGATGAGAGTGTCCCAATCACAGATAGTAATACCCATCAACAAAAACTCCCAGAAAAGGGGTTAATCAAAACTGCCCAACGGCTCTCGGCCACTACTCCCACTCGCTAGAGCACGCAATCTGCAACGGCCGCATGGCTCTCGGCGGGCAAAGGGGCCCCGGCGACCCGCGTAGCCGGCCGTCAACGTGTGCCTCCTACTCAACGTGTGGCAGCGGAGCTATTTCTGCAAGACCCTACGACGAGGACCTAGGAGGGTCGTGTAACTTACTCAAAATCAAGTTCATTTAGGTGCTTGGCTGCGTGTCGACCACTGGTAGGTGGCCTATCGGGTTCGCTGCACCAAGAGGGGCCGGCGGCACTGCACAAGCGGCTCCGGAAAGCTACAGATCTGTACGTTCACATGTTCGCCGGGGGCGTGCAGGGAGGAGAGCCGTCCGTTATGTTTGTGATTATTTTTTCCTTTCCTTTTCCTGGATGCTCTTCTTGTTTCAGCTCTCCAAGTTTCTCCGTTTTTGGGTGTTCTTAGCGACAGGCTTTCGAGAAGAGTTGGTGCTGCCGGGATTGCATGTTGGGGGTTATATTATTACCCTCCGGTTGCCATCGACTGGGAATTCCATAGAAAGATCAATTGCTCTTTGTACGCCCAAATTCACGGTGTAAAGAGAATCAAAGACTTGGTTCAGTTCTCTTCTTCCTCCCCTCTCTTCGCCCGAACATCTTCCAACGTATTCCACACCTAGACATATCCATCTTCGAACCACTAGCTTGCCTAAGTGTAATATTCCCGCTCCTGTCTTCATCACAGTAACCACCATCTACACACGAAGCCCATCATGGCCCTATCCACACTCCCCTCAAGCACTCAACACCACGGACCTCCGAACAACAACAGCAACGACAACTCACGGGATAAAGATGGCAAACCCCCTCACTCGCCCCGATTCCCCGGTGCCGGGCGCCCCCGTCTTCGCTGCCGGATATGCGGCGCGACCTTAGACCCCCAACCAGCCCGCTCTCTCTCCAAAGGCGCGCCTCGCCCGAAGCGGGCACCCGTCACGGGCGTCCACCGCTACAGAAATGGCGGAATAATTGAATGTCCGTACAGCACGCGGGCTTATGCCCTTCCTCAACAGGTTAACCGGATGGTGATCGCCGAGGCGGCTGAGGCGGCGGGGATGTCGCGAGGTGGGAGACGGCGCATGGTGTTACCTACGAGGATAGCGCCGAGGAGTGAACGTGAGGATGATGACGCTATGGACGAGGATGGACATGAGGAAGAAGAAGAAGAGGAGGAGGAGGAGGATGATGATGGCGACGAAGATGATGACAACGAGGAAGACGGTACGTTCGAATCTTGTAAAACTCCATTGATCCCCAAACTACATTTGCTAAGTCTTTTTCTTTCCTTTTCTTGAGATGGACCTAACCAAGTAGTTTTGCTCCGCCCAGATGAGAGCTCTCAAGCATCTGCAGAGGAATCCTCAGAAAATGATGACAAGGACTAAGACGCCGGGAAGGTTGTAATGTGGATTCTCCACGACGTCGTGCGCCCGTTCCAGTTGAAATTGGTGCACGACTTTTGAATGTCTGTTTTGTTTTTCTCTTTTCTTTTCATTGTGGGGACATCGATGATGATCTCGTATGATCCCTCTATCGTCATTGACGAGGTGTGGGCTTTGTTTGCTGTCGATCTTTTGAGTGTCTTGTCGCTCATCTCGGGTGTTACAAGAATGCTTGTTGTCTTTTCAATGGTTCATGTCATAATTCGGAGAGGTAATGTGAAATAGGATAATACGGACGGTAATAGAACCCCTGCCTAGATGAGGATTCGAGGCGCGAGTGAGCGGGCATCCTGATATTAATTTGAGTATTCACCCTCTGGTGCGTGCGTGCTTCTAACTCTAAATCTCCACTCCTCGAAGCCGCAAAGAGATGTCACCAATTCAAGACGTTCTGGGGTTACGAGAGGTTGCGAGACATCGAGAGCAAAGCTCTCGCCGAGAAGCGTCTTGTCACCACCAAGTCCAGAGCATTCCATTGGGGAAAAAGTTTCTAGTTTCTAACGTAGCTTAGTCTAGGAAACAGGTGTGTACAAAGTGTTGTTAATGGACTTCTCCAAAAACCTCCTCAAACTCTTCGCTTCATCGTCCTCGACCCAAGAACAAAAATCCTCAAAAATTCAATCTGGTCTGGGCGAGGATAGTCGGGTCGATGCACTTATTTGACCTTGTCGTGGTTGTGGTAGTTGACCTTGTCGTTCCAGCTATTTCAGAGGTTAGTATTCGGCGTCCACTCAAACATCTCGCAGCCTTTCTGGGCATATCGTTTAAAGAAAGATCGTGTATGCTTACAAGAGGGTCTAGAATAACCGTTAGTATCGAGTCATCTTGTGTGGCAGCAGCTTCGTGTCATTGAAAAGGTTACATACCTTGTCGCCATCACCCCAGCTGAAGTTCCTGGAGCGGATGTTCTGGTAGGGGTACTCGGTGCGCTCCTCCAAGGGAGGAAGATGAGACCAGTGCTCCCAATGCTCGTTCCAGAGCTTGTAGGCGTTGGCGCTAGCGAGGACGAGGGCGGGAATGCAAGCACTACAAACAATTAGATTCTGCATCTCAATTGATGTACGGTCGTCCACCATGGTTCCCAAGGTTCTTGTCCCGACTCAATGGGTCTAGCCGGGCATGGTTGTGGAAGAAAAATTGAATAATCACGCGTTTTATCGGGAGGGTTCGTACAAGAGGGAGATCTTCTTCCAGAGATCTAAAAACAAATGATCAATTAGCAATCCCATCCATCAACCGACCCTGATCGCCTCGTCCGGGAAAGTAAATCCTCACCAGTGGTGCCGACGGCGTGGTCCTTGGCGTGCTGTCGCTCCTTGACAAACTCGTTCTCGACGGTGGAGTTGAATCGTCGCTGGACGGTCGAGCGGATGGCCGGCGAGCGGAGCTGGGAGGTCAATCGGGTTGCCCCGCGGGAGAATCGCTGGTAGAGCATTTTTGCTGATGTCGTCGTAGAGTCCTGTCGATTCTTGGGCTACGATCGAGTTCGCGGAGGGAGGGTTTGGAGTGGAGAGTTGAGCTTTGGTGATTGTGTTTCCATTTTGATCGTGGTTTCCAGAGTCAGACCACCTCGGTCCCCGGAATTACTAATTCTTTCTGCCTGAGGGGTCAAAGTCTGAGGATCGACGTTTTGCGAGGACAAGTTGGGATTTGGCAGATGGCAACATTTGGCGACAGCTTAAGCTCTCGCGAGCTCTCCCGATGTATCGTACGGTTTTTCTTGGAAGCAACGGAAATGCTGTTTCTCGGGAACTGAGTAACTGAAATCTTGGGGATTCAACTCCTGCAAATTGGGACAATTCTCATTGATTCAGGATGAGTTTGGTGAGAGCTCCAATACGGGCCTCACGGGCCTTGCAACCCGTGAGAGTTGCAGCTTGCTCCCACTCATTTTCGGTGCTCAATCGCCCTCCACCGAATTACCCAGGTCATATCCCTCTGACACGCATCGAGAGAGCTGCGCTAGCCATTGGGTCCGGCCTCACGTCTTTCTTCAATCCCTACCGCGGCGGTGAGTAGACGAGGTTCTTCCTTACGGATATTGCTCCATTTTTGTAATTCCCAGCCTACAAATCGAGGGACGGGAGTGAAGCGTAATAACTAATGCAACCCTTCCCTGTAGACATGATCTCCGCGTTCGGAGAAACCACCGCGACACCCTACTTCATCTACCGCCTCCGCGACGCCATGCTCTCCGACCCCACAGGCCGCCGCATCCTCCGCGACCGCCCCCGCATGACCTCCACCTCCCTCAACCTCGACCGCCTCCGCAGCCTCCCCACCAACACAGTCGGTCGCTCCTACGTCGGCTGGCTCGACCGCGAGGGCGTCTCCCCCGACACACGCCCCCACGTGCGCTTCATCGACGACGCCGAATGCGCCTACGTCATGCAGCGGTACCGCGAGTGTCACGATTTCTACCACGCGTTGACGGGGTTGCCCATCGTGAGGGAGGGCGAGGTGGCACTCAAGGCGTTCGAGTTCGCGAATACGTTGATCCCCATGACGGGGTTGAGCACACTTTCGGTGTTTACGATGAAGCCGCTGGAGAGGCAGAGGTTTTATCAGACGTATTTGCCTTGGGCTGTGAAGAATGGGTTGAGGGCGAAGGATGTGATTAATGTGTATTGGGAGGAGCAGTTGGAGAGGGATGTTGATGAGTTGAGAGCGGAGTTGGGGATTGAGAAGCCTCCGGATATGCGTGATATACGGAAGAAGGTGAGGGAGGAGAGGAAGAGGATGAAGGCGGCGGCGCAAGCTGGCAGGGCGTGATGGTGATGCGCTTGAATAATTTGTATATTATTATCTCGTGACGTTCGTTTTGTTCATGATGGGAGGAGACAGGCATTGTCTGCACGACACCCATCTCAGTTTCAGTCCCCAAACCGCTAGCTTCGCGCAAAAACAGCCAAAAAGGAAGCCTTGTAATAACACCAATAAGGAAGAAAAATCATAGATCCAATAGATCATCGTCATCATCCCACACCTTCCGCCTAGTCACGACAATCTTCTGCTCTTCTTTATTATCGGCCACGGCGTTCAACAACTCCTTGAGCTGCTCCTCGGTAACTTTCTGCCTCAGCTGGCCCGTCTGCGCCAACATGATCAGCCGATTCTCAATTTCGGTCGCCCGCGACTCCTTGACCATCCGAATTCGACCTAGCCGATCCGCCGCCTCGGGGTGTAGAATCTGATCGAGCATCGCCTTTCGCGCCTCGGCTGTGGAAGAGGAGAAGAATACCATGTTAGATGCATGGGAACGTGTATTTCCTCGGGTTCTCAGGGGTATTCACCTTGTTGTTGCCGCTGTTGCCTATCACACCGTCGAGGTTAGCAAATAAAACAGAAACGCTGGGGGGAGGAAGAAAAATGAAGCAGAGAGAGAAAAAAGAAAAGTGAGTAAAACATACTGCTCTTGGTCTGCCTGCTGCCGGCCCTTGCTGCTACCACCACCGCTCGCCTTGAGCTGCTCGAGACGAGCCTTTCGGATCTGTCGATACCAAATGGCTCGTGGTTAGAACCCCGCCATGGGGAAGTGTTCCTGCAGTACCCCGCGCTAGGTGGGTGAACATACCTGTTCTAGCTCGTCGTCCATTTTCTTCTTTTGTCTTTGTCTAGGAGGCTGAGAAATGTATCGATGAGAGAAGAAGTTTAGCTGGAGTTGAGTTCAAGAACTGGTTTTACTAGGGACAATGGCGAGGTGGGGTGGTTACGAATTAAATCAGTGGTGATGTCGGCAGGTTTCTGCATTCAGACTAGGCGTGGCTCTTACGACATTCATGGATTTGACATGCACGAACACGGCAAAGCGTGGGCCGTGGGCCGGTCATTTTAAGTGTGGCGGTTGGTGCCACAAGTGGCTGGAGCTTAATAGCTATCAGTCAGTTGCAGTCTTCATTCTCGATAATCAAATCCCATCACCATCATCATCATTCATGGACCGACCCGTTGATGTCATGAAACTCGATGCATGGTGTAGTCTCTGACTGCATTAAACCCGATGTGTCTCGGATATTTGGTCCTGCATAAATTACTAACAGTTTATCAGGAAGAAGATGCATTATTTCAACGGGATGCAATGACGACAATTCGAGGTGCCGTTTCCTTTCCTTTGGTGACGCCTTTTTCTTCGCCTTGACCTAGAGAGACCCATCAACTTGACAATCACTCGATGTCAGAAAGCGGACATCTATTCCCGCCCGAACTATATATATACCTTCCCGGGCTACCTCACTAGAAGAACAAACGATGAGGTTTCAAAAGATTCCAATACCATCCACGTGAGGTGTTTCCCCATCCGGACAAGCAATACCATCAACTAGTCTCTCCCTAAGCTGGATACCGAAGTCATAGCTCTGCCAAACTTCATCGGGCGTACAACTATTGGTACGAGGACCAGACCAGAAAAAAACAAGCTCACCTTGTTGCATGTCCTGGCTTCCGACTGGCGAGACCCCAAGTCGAGGCACAAGGCGCGCCATTTCCATGACTAAAAGGTGACGCCGCCGACCTCATTAAGGTGCAACTTCCGCACTTCTAGCGCTTTGATTCCGAGTCGGAACACCGTCACATGCACCTAGGAGACTTGACACTTTGTTATGTCATAGATATGCGAGGCTCCGATGAGATGGCTCAACCCTCTGCAGCACCCCCACGGGGGACGGCTTGAGGCTGAATGCAGAGTCGAATGTTGGGCCCCTTGGCAGCTGAAGTACATAGGGTCCTGTGACCGCGATGAACGAGGTATGGGGAAGGATGGGGAGGAGTCTTTCGTGGTCCTGGTATGACCAGGTCCTTGGGACGTGGTCCGCATGTTGACGTTCCATCCCGAGCGCAGATGGAGTGAGCGGTTTTCAAACTTGGGACGAAGTAAAATACAGCGTAATTGGTAAAGAGAAATGAGGGTAGTGAAGTATTCGCCCAGGAAAATAAAGAGTTGGCACCTCGGGTCGTTCCCGAAGAATGCCATAATCCCGAAGTGCTCTCTTCCTCCTGCGATACGGGTACACTGCTCCATACTTCGTACACCAGCATTTCCGCCCAGTTACCCAATCTGGATTGGTATCAACCTAGTCTTGTCCAATGGCTTGACTACTTTGTACGAAGTATATTGAGGAGTATTCATTACGCACGTAATGGAGCACACCAGGATTTGCAAGGAAAGGCTCCATCTCGGCCAAATTCCCTCCGAGTGGGGAGAATCGCACAATGGGCGAAGACCTTGGCTTCCAATGGCAGTACTGGAAACGAAGTCGGATGTGTGAACGCTACCTTTACCCGCTCTGTGCGTCCCATGTCGTAAGTCGGACGAATTGAGTTGCAGCCTCAGCCCTGTGGTGACCAGTGAGTGTGCATTAGATCAAATCCTGCGGTCGGCACTAATGTAGTGGATGTCTGGTCTTGGGAGACACTAGAGGCATTGTGGCGCGGCCCAGGGATTGACAGAGTCAATTGAATTTCTGTTCCGTTCACGGGGAATCCAGAGCCTGGTCATGGATGGGAATCGATTGATGCCAGTGCGCCGACTTCGTATTATCAATCATATCGATCATATCAATCAGTGCCATTCTTTTCCTGACCAATGCCACAAAAGCACGCTTGCACCGACTCGGCACAAGTACTTCGTAGGGTGTGGTAGGACAATCCCGTCTGGAGCAGTCTTCGCAGCAAGAGATCAAGACGGGCACGATCGAGAGACTCAGAGAGGTGATCCCTCCTCACCCAAGCCTGGCCAATTTTTTCCCCCCTCTCTCTTTTCCATCTCATCACTCGATGCACCTCGTAGTTTTCCCATAGCCCCGAAATAGAGAGCAATTCGCGGTGACCTGAGCCGAATTTACTTCAACCTCAAGGCGCGAAAGAAGGGGATAGAAAAGAAGTAGAAAAAAAAAAAAAAAGCCGCCGTACTAGATCACACTTACAAGACACTTACGAAGCAAGAAACTTTTACTTTTCACTGCCAAGAACTTCTGTTCAACTCAACGCGGAGAAGTAGCCGAAAAGAGAAGCCCTTAGCGCTAGCGATGGAGCCATCAAATTCTATATTCAAACGGCACGAAGTAACCGAGTCCCGAGATCGAGGGAGTGAGATGTGGACCTTCGTGCAGAGCATCAAAGGATCTGGAACTCGGACGAAGTATTAAAAAAAAAAAAAAAAAAAAAAAAAAAATTAGATCAGTTGACTCGACACGGGCAGGGGGTTACATTCCTCTCTCGACTTCGGGTCTGCCGATGTGATATATGCAGTAACAATTCGTTACGGTGCACATCCCACGAGCCGGTGATAGAGAATCGAGCCCAAACCCCGCGGGCTAACCTCCCAATCGGATAGAGAGCGCATGGCGCATGACGCACCACTCCTCCACAGCCTTTCACTGAAAGTCGTCGTTCGGAAACGGTCCAACTCTCTCGCCGGCTGAGTTGCTCTGTCGTGTGTTTGGGCGCTGGGTCGGGGGAGATTGCATGGGTCCCTTCCTAGTGCGCCCCCCACGCTATGAGAAACAAAAAAAAGAAAAAAAAAATGGTCCGTGAAGCTTCCGGTTCAGTGGGGAACGGCACCTTGACAGCCTTTGGAGTTGAGGACTTTTGCTCTTTCTTCCTCGCGTAAATGGTCCGTCTGTGGTGACCTGTCGAAGGCAGTAACGTTGCCACTTTGACCAAGTACGAAGTATTGAGTAGATCACTGATGAAATGCCCGTCATGACTCAGGCTGTTGAGCATTTCGAGGTTATTGATAATGGCATTAACTACCACTTTCTGAATACCGATTGGATTGACACCTTCGCTTGACAGAGTTGCTACTTCGTTCTCTTCTCTTCCCACTACACTAGCTCAAGCACCACAGTGGGCACAGGGATCATGCGTGTAATACGACGTTTGTAGATTATGCATTACCTCTTCAAGGGGGGTCCCGCAACTGGGTGCATTCTTGGTCGGCTTTGGGATAACATGGATGCGATTCCTTCCCAAGGTGAATCCGGCAGAGACCGACGCCGACGCCGGCGAGGTACATCTATGACAGAAGCGAACCCGAAGGATTGAACACTTGATCACTTGATATCAATCCCTGGCAAAGACAGACTTGGCGAGAAAAATCAAAGTAAAATCAAAAATAGAGAGCAAAGACCAGAAACAACGATCCAATGCCGAGACCCGGTAACCCTCCATTACTAGAATGACAAGGGGCGCACGGTGGAGCTTAATCCCGGCATGTAGTATTGCGGACTCACTCTCTCTAGGTCGGGTTCAAGTAGTGTAAAGCAGAGTAGCAAATATGAGCAGACCACAACTTCACAAACGTGAGAAGGATTCTGTCGAGCTTCCTAATTCAATCCCCACTAGACTCGAAGCTGCCATGTCCTCCGAGCCTACGAGTTTAACTTTGTTGGCTGGCGACATCGGACAACAGCGGCTGGCTGGCTTTTGCCCTGAAATGTACACTTTGCCAAGTTATCAGATGGATCGATCCATGGATCTGATAAAAAAATTTTTGGTGGTCCTAGTTTGACTAGTACAAGTGCTTCGTGGTAAATCTTATCAATCTCCGAGCACCGCGCACACTGGAGGGGAAATGTTTGGGAAACCCAAGATTTTTTCGTTTCCCCCTCCCAAACTCAAAAGTATAGAATACACGAGCTCTACGTCAATGTAGCCGTTACTTTCTTTGAGCGCGTCTACAATGACTTTCACCGAGTAATCGGCGGTCCCGATGGGCCTCCACCTTCTTGCTTCGCGTAGTGTACGGAGTACACTAGAGTGTAGTGTACAGTAGCTAGCAGTATCATAGATGGGGTGCATCGACCCGACGGAGAGGTACTGGTGCACTAGCGAGCCGGGAAGATCAATGAGGACAAAGGAAGACGAAAACAAGAAGGAAAGAAAGGGTCTAAAATGTCCGGAACACGGCTTGTTTGTCTTCGTCTACACACTGCACAACACTGTCGTCCATGCCGGCCGAGACAGTCCCCACAAGTATCAGTGACATATTGATCAGTTCTTCCCACTACCACCTTTGCCCGGTAGTTTACGAGGTAAGTGCGCGGTAGTTCGGCGATTTGTCGTAGTGTAGCGTCCCAATCCTCTGTTCCACTCTGGTCCTCTAATCCGCTGTTGCTTCACTGCTTCCGCTCTCTTGCATCTGCAGTTCTCCACTCTCTCGTACCTCATCCTTGCTCGACCCGGACCCAAGATCTGCAATGGAGCTCGAGGTCGTGCCCAGAACCATTTAAGCAACCGCGTTTCCCACCCCACCTTATTCTTGCCTAGCCCTCTCCAGACATCATCTCAAGTCCTTCTCCATAAAGGCATTGAGCTTCTCTAACAGACCTACCTCAAGCCTGTGCTTCCATGGGCCCAAGCCACAGCCCAATAAGCCCACCATGCCAGAAAACAAGGAAAAGACCCTCGGGGATGTAGACCAGCAACCCGCCCACGTCTACGGCGGCAAATCCATCCCCGTCGTCCTCGACGCCTCCGCCAAAAATGTCCAAGACGCAAAATCCCCCGGCGTCCAGCGCATGGAGGCCATCCACGCTGTCATGACCCTCTGGGACCGCGTCTTCATCTTCTTCGGCGTCTTCCTCATCGCCTACGCGTACGGCCTGGATGGGACGCTGCGCTACGCTTACCAGCCCACGGCGACGGCTTCGTTCGACAAACACTCGATCAATGCGTCCATTAACGTGCTGAGGGCCGTCATCGCCGCTGCCGCTCAGCCCACCTCTGCTAAGATCGCCGACGTCTTCGGTCGTGTTGAGCTTATCTGCTTGTCCGTCTTCTTCTACGTCCTCGGAACCATCGTTGAGGCCGTGGCCAAGAACGTCGAGACTTTCGCCGGTGGAAGCGTCATCTACCAGATCGGTTACACCATGGTCATCCTCCTCGTAGAGGTCATCATCGCAGACATCACCTCCACCCGCGCCCGTCTTCTCTTCTCTTACATCCCCGCCCTCCCCTTCATCATCAACACCTGGGTAAGCGGCGACGTGTCCCAGGCCGTCCTCGACGCCACCACCTGGCGCTGGGGCGTAGGCATGTGGTGCATCATCTACACCTTCTGCGCCCTGCCCCTCATCATCAGCCTCAGCGTCGTCTCCCGCCGTGCCAGGAAACGAGGCCTGCTCGACAACTACAAGTCGCACTTCGCGCAGCTGGGATTCAAGAACTTCGTCGTCGATTTGTTCTGGCGCATCGACGTCATCGGCATCATCCTCGTCATCGCCGTCTTTGCGCTGATTCTGGTCCCTCTGACGCTCGCCGGCGGGTTCACGCAAGGGCACCAGTGGAAGAAGGCGCACATCATCGCGCCGCTCGTCGTGGGCGTCTGCACCGTTCCGGTGTTCGTGCTGTGGGAGCTCCGAGCGCCGCACCCGCTCGTGCCGTTCAAGTTGATGAAGAACCGGGCCGTTTGGGGTCCGTTGGGCATCGCGTGCTTCCTCAACTTTGCTTGGTACATGCAGGGCGATTACCTGTATACGGTGCTCATCGTCGCGTTCGATTTCAGTATCAAATCTGCCACGCGTATCACCTCCTTCTACTCCTTCTTCAGCGTTATCACCGGCACCATTCTAGGATTAATCGTCTTCGCCGTCAGACGCCTCAAGATCTTCATCGTAATCGGGACCTGCCTCTTCATGGTCGCCTTTGGCCTCCTCATCCGATACCGCGGAGAAGCTCACGGCTCCACCCGCGCAGGCGTCATCGCCGCCCAGATCCTCCTCGGCATCGCTGGCGGCATGTTCCCTTACCCGGCACAGGCCTCTCTCCAGGCCTACCTGACCCACGAGCACCTCGCCGTCATGACGGGCATCTACCTCGCCCTCTACAACGTCGGCTCGGCTCTCGGCAACGCCGTTTCCGGCGCCGTCTGGAGCCAGGTGCTCCCCGAGCAGCTGAGCAAGAACCTCGCCGGCATCAACGAGACGCTGGCCGAGTTCACCTACGGAAACCCCTTCGACGCTGCCGCTGCGTATCCCGTGGGTACACGAGAGCGCGAGGCCATTATCGTCTCGTACAAGTATGCGCAGCGCATCCTTACCATCATTGGTATTTGCCTTTGCGTGCCGCTTATCGGGTTCGCGTTTACGCTGAGGAATCCGGTGCTCACTAATAAGCAGACTTTGGCGGAGAATTGGGAGTCGGATAGCTCTGATGAGGGTGCTGAGAGGCGTGATATTCCGTGAAGATTTTTTTTAATGGTTGTTAGCGGGGACAAGAGAGTGTGGTGTGCGTGAGTTTTAACTACTGGATGATTTTAAAGGATAATGAATAATTGTAAATGTGGAATGTGTTGTTCCGATGGGTTCTGGTGAGCTCGGTTTTCCCTGTTGCGGATTGATGCGAGAGAAGACTTTTTGGTTAAGTTACAGATGAAATACCCAATTTTGTTTTCCCTTTCTTGAATTCCGGTATTGGCCCTCCTCGACTCGAGTGATTGGTCCTTGATCTCACGAGGATCCAAGTCGGACCATAAAGTTTGAGCCAGGACCCCCGGATTCGAGCACTGAGGCAAAAGAAGAAATGAAGGGGGGGAGGAAACTCCCGGCATCCAAGTTGGATGAATGAGAAGGTGTCCGAGTTGTGTAAGTGTAAGTGGAAGTTGTCGGGCATGGCGCATTTGGTTTAACCTTCAATGGCCTTATGATCTCTTACAGTTTCATTTTCCTAGATTGGGTCGCTAGGTGTGTAAACTAAAAATTTAAAAAAAAAAAAAAAAAAAAAAAAAAAAAAAAAAAAAAAAAAATAGTGGACCGCGCTGAAAAAAAGAGGTCAGGAGAGCCGCCGCCAAGGAACCCGCGGACCCCGATGGCTCTATTGTCTTCAACAATGCGATGTGTCTCCTATGTGAGTTTGTGACTAAGTGGATAGTCTAGACTTTCTTCCCGAACCAAGGTTCCGATGATGCATGATGCGAGTCAATGGAGACTGCTGAGGCCTCGAAGCTCCAGTGTTTTGCGGTGAGTGTCCAAGTATGGCGGGGTGTCAGTGGGGCTCAGATCGCCCGAAGACCCGAAGTCGAGAGGGGCAGAGCAGATGGCGGAGGGCCTCGACTCGGACCCGAACTCGATCGAAGAGAAGCTCCGCGTCGACATTCCCGAACGGGACATCGAGCCATCCCGCTTGCTTGTTTTGGGAATTTAACCTTCGGCGCTACCCTCAAGGTCTCCCCTTCAAATAGCGGCGGAAGCAAAAAAGAAGAGGAAGGCATGGCGGAAAGACTTCTTAGGTGTTGATCTGTGTGTGCCCCACCACTTTTCCTTATGCTTCCAGTTCAACGGAGTCCGCGGACAGCTTCGGGCGACCCGTTTATATCCAAATTCGGTTAGGGTTTCGGCGAGTTTGCCAAGGTGCCATTGCCTGAGGGCCCTTCTCCAGAGTTTGAATTTGTCATCGAAATGCTTTCAACTATGATGTTTCTTTTTTCTTTCCCTTTCTTTTCTTATACTAGTCTTCTTGGCTGCTTCTTCGCTTCTCCAACTAGGTAGGTTTTTTTTTTTCCCTTTGGTATGCTGGCCTTTCCGTTGCGTTTCTTGGGCCTTGACTGTCTGCCCACTCATTCGTTTAAGAGTGTACGAAGACGTTTAAAACTCGCGGAATAAGATCCCCCCCAATGGGCAAATCGAACGACGGTCGTGGGAACACCACGACGGGCCTTAACACGGCGTCACCTTCCTTTTCGGAGATCCCGTTAGACGGCGCCGTGCCCCGCACCGAAGGAATCTGCGAGAGTCAACCCCTTCAGATCGATGTAGAGGTGCTTGGCCGTCAACGGCCCGCCATCTTCAAGACGAGATGGGCCGAGCTTGGGTTTTGCTTCTCCCTATTGGGTTCCATATTCATGGGCGTATGTATGTTGGGTTCAAATACCCGGCGTTAATTGTTTTTCTTTGTCCCCCGAACGCCACTGACACTAACACCCACGTATTAGGAATACTTCGTTAGTGGATTCCACATCGTGCTTCCCCCATTGGCCGCCGCTCTGGAAATCCCTAAAAACTCCCAAACATGGCCATCCAGCGTTTTCTCCCTCGTCACCGGCGCATGTCTGCTCCCGCTAGGCCGCGTCGGTGATATGTACGGCGGCGACGTCCTCTACACCGGCGGCATGGCATGGTTCTTCCTCTGGTCCCTCGTCGCGGGCTTCAGCAACAACTACACCCAGCTCGTCGTCTTCCGCGCCATGCAGGGTCTCGGCTGCGCCGCCTGCCTTCCCGCCGGCATCATGCTCCTCGGTAAAATCTACCGCCCGGGCCCCCGGAAGAACCTGGTCTTCGGAATTTACGGCGCTTCCGCCCCGATTGGCTTCTTCTTCGGCATCCTCTTCGGAGGAGCTGCGGGGCAGTATCTTACCTGGAGGTGGTACTTTTGGCTGGGCGCCATCTTCCTCGCTGTTGTGTGCGCCATATCCTTCCTCACCGTGCCTCGAGATAAGCGCGACAAGAACGGTCCCGAGATTAAGATGGATTGGCCGGGGGCGCTGACCATCGTTCCGGGTCTTGTTCTGTTCGTTTATGCGTTGACGGATAGCTCTTCTGCACCGAAGGGCTGGGCATCTCCGCACATCATCGCTACTTTTGTCATTGGTGTCGTCTTGCTTTGTTTGGCCGTCTACATTCAAGGATGGGTTTCCAAGAACCCGCTCTTGCCGGCGGCCCTTTTCTCACCCAAGGATATGAAGCCGCTCGTGTTTGCCTTGTTTCTTTCGTACGGTTCCTTCGGTGTCTTCCTCCTGTACTCAAGCTTCTAGTAAGTGCTGTCAAACATGCCCCCTGCCACCCCAGCTCTCCTCCGAGGTGAGAAAGCGGCTCTAACCCCCATCTTAATTTTAGCATCGAACTTGTCATGCACCAATCTCCCATAATAACGGCAGTATGGTACATCCCCATGGTCCTCGGCGGCTTAACCATCGGCATGTCGGCCGGTTTCACTCTGCATCTGCTCCCCGGCCGCATTCTCCTTATCATCGCAGGCACAGCTCTCACAATCTGCCCTCTCCTCTTCGCCATCATGCCCGAAGGAGTCGGGTACTGGCCCTACGTCTTCCCCTCCATGATCGCATGCACAGTAGGCATCGACATCACCTACACAGTCACCAACGTCTTCATCACCACGAACCTACCCGCACGATATCAAGGCCTCGCTGGCGCCATCATCAACAGCGTCGTCTTCTTGGGAATCAGCTTCTTCCTCGGTATCGCCGATATTGGTGTCGGTGCCACCAGCCACTTGGGCTTGAGGAAGAGCTACAAGACCGGGTTCTGGATCGCCGTTGGGCTTGCCGGCGTGGCGACTTGCTTTTTCGCGTGCATGAAGATTGGACATGCGAAGAGCGACCTGACGCTCGAGGAGAAGGCTCAGCTCGAGGAGGAGTTGATGAGGCAGCGGGAGCTGGCGGCGCAGGGTGGGCTCGAGTCTGCGCGCGAATCCCGGTCGGTGCTTGGATCGGGGACGGCGATGGCGGTGGCGGCGGAGGGGGCACCGGCGTCTGATTCGCAAGCGGAGAAGTCAGGTTGATGAACCTCGACGTCATTGGATTATCAGAGTGTTTCTCGTGGGTATTGCGCTACTTGGATTCGGGCTTTGCCTCGCCCTGGTTTATGTTTTCCGGCGTTGGACTTGGCTATTTTGGCGTTTAATAAAAATGAAAGCATCTGCCGCTTGAGTTAGATTAGGAGTCGTGGAAAGGCGCCTGAGAATTGATTTAGATGGATCTGGAGAATTTAGGGTAGCATCAATGAGTAGAACCGAAAGATTATGTGGTTCGCACGATTTCCTGCTGTTGGGATCCATGGACGTCCCCGTCTCTGTCCTTTTTAGTACATCGACTACACAATTAGGATCTCAGCCTTAACGAGCGTTCATCCCAAGACGAAAGCAACTTAGCGATGTTGATTCATCGATAAATAGTGTTTAATCTACGCTTTTGACTAGGCAAAAGTCATCAGAGAACTTTATAAACAAAAATATGGAGAAAGAAGAAAAATAAGCCGCTGGGTATTAAAACAGACAACCGGCAACACCAGTGATGCGCACAAAAAAAAGAGTAGGGAAAGGAAAACAGAAAAAGAGGAAAAGAAACGTTGGCACTAGTCATGTTACCTGGTTTATTAAGTAAGAAAAAAAAAAACGTACGGGTTCCCTCCTTAGCTTGGAGGCAAAGGTGCCCCACAACGTGGCGTACTAACCACTATACGACTTGAGCTTTTTTTGCTCTTGTGTTGTGTTGAGCTCCGGAGGCTCAAAAATGTATTATAATGCAGCGGGTCTGAGCGACAGTTTGACAGCAGCTGTTGACAGCCCAGGCCCAGACTCTGGAGTGATTTGATCTAGGCGACAGTAGCTACATGCAAACATGCAAAAAAGCCATTAAAATCTTCATCTGACTGAGGCAGGCAACATCCACTGGCACTCCTTATCAATACTCATTGCTGATAACGACCTTGAATTTGATTTCGTAGTCCGTCCCCCGCCGGCGACCGGCCGGTCACTGTCCGCAACCAGTTTTCGGGCTTTCGAAAGACTGCGCAACTGACTCTTCATTGCTGGGCTTGAATCCTTCAGCGACCTTAGCATTTACCGCTAGTGGCAGGCGGCACCGACGTGCTGAAATATTATGTCGATGACTGGATTCCGTTTCAAGACTCTCTCATATAGATGTATCGTAAGGGATTCTAGTTTTCTCGTTCCCAACCGGCTCAACGTCTATCACAGGAGAAGGGCCCGACTCGGTCTCTTCGACGAAATCAAGCAAAGTTACTGGGCTGTGGCTCGTCCCGAGAAATCTCAGAATCTCCCAGGTACCTCTAACAAAGAGGGTAGAGTGGAATTTAGACCCTGCTGTACTGGTCGAATCTAGACTCGGGAAAATCAATATATAAAAGGGCTCTGTTGAGAGTACATGATAATCAAAACCACTCCCAGGGGTGAGTGACCTCGGCTCTATATCCCCATGCACACGCCCGGAGCGGGCTGACCACAAATTCCATATAATCTGCCGACTGTGAAGCTGTTGTACCTGCGAATCACGGTGCCATACAGCGCCAGCCTTACATGATTCTGAATGTTTTAGTCGGTGCCACCAGGTACATTCCTACGCTTCCGACTGGGGTTGTCCCTGCCTGGGCTGAGTCGCTGTCCTCTTATACCCGGCCAGACTGAGGAATGGTATTGCTAATAAGATATTACCAAGGATGTGTTCGCTGCTTTAACCATTCCGAAAAACATGGCGGCAAATATCCGATAACACAAGTTCATCGGTCAAGCCACTAGCGTAGCGGTATATCTAAAAATGTATTACTGGGCGGAGACAGAAATCGATTAGACTTTGACAACGCGGCCCATGCCGAAAAAAGATGTTGACAGTATAGTCTACAACGACTCCAAGCACTGTGCAGCATCATCCGGAGCATGTTGCCCTCTCTTCTGAGGCACAACCAAGGGTTGCAAACGAGCCACTCCTCGATTCTAAAGTTAGGACAAGGTGATATTTTCCGAACCACAGGAAGGGTAACTCCGCCATGGGGACTTCCTGAATAAGATATAAGAATTCCCCTAATACTTCTTGTTGAAGTGGGTAGGTAGAGCTAGGCCATGCCAGCTGCTACGCCGTGTTAGTAGCGGTTGGGTTGACTTCTGTTCCAAGAATGCTCCGGTTAGTCTCATATCATGTCGGTCACTTTAACGTTGCAATATCCATTACGGGATAGTCCCAGCCTCAAATTGCATTCTCAGAAAATCCTAAGCTAAACAGCTTCCAAAATACTGCATCAATCGAGCAAAAAGCTCATTTCAACCCTCTGCTAACAGCCCATCATCTTTGATTCATCCTGAGGTACGAGCGACCAGCGCAGTACTAGGAGTGCATCGGATATCTCAAACACCATCATGTCGGCGTCGTCGACTCGGCTCCCTCTTTTGATACCGGGCCTCAATGCAGGCCAACTCCCCCGCATCCAAACCCCTTGGCGGCCATGAAGACCCGCGCTGCGGGCGATCATGATCATCGTCATGGCGTCGAACGATTTGGCGTCCGCGCCTGTCCATGGGCTCCAAAGGAGCGCGGCGGAAACCTCGTCTGTCTCCTTCGGGATGGTAAACGAGGCCCAGGACGTGAGGTTCACTGGTCTCGGTGACAGGGTTCGGCATAGTAGTGTCGCGAACCACGTTATGAACAACAGCGCGACATACGTCGGGGTCGTTAACAGGGTTCTGCTCCGCGTGGGCCCTATCGTTGGGATGTAGGGTACGGTTGCCCGCAATGTCGTCCCTCACTGAAGTCGGTGGCTTGGTGACGTCGAATGGGGTATTCGACGTGACTGGAACTTCGAGCATGCCGGTTTTTCTCTTTTCCGCGTCGGCAAAGTTACCCTCGTAGTCATAGTTATTGCGCGGGTACTTATCGTGTTTCCCCTCTGCTTTGGCGACCAGCGCACGTGTTGCCTGTTTTTGAACGGACTTCGCGGGCAAGGGACCCCTATGAGGGGTATGGTACTGCTATATTCTCAACTGGTAAGTGATATAGGTCATCGGCCAAGAACGGTGTTGAGAGCGGTGTCTGTGTGGGGGGGACTGAGGGCAGGCTGAGGGCGATGAGTTGAGTTACCAGGTTGTTGATATCGTCTGTGGTGTTCCGTCGAGTGGGTGGAATACGCGGCATTGCCATGCACGATGGTTGCGAAGGAGGAGACGCCTCTCGGGGGGAGGGCATCGGGGAGGGCCGCGGGGAGACTGGAGGTGAACGGGAATCATCCATCTTGTTTAGGCAAAGATAAGTAGGTTGATGGTATTGGAGACCGGAATGGTAATGGCTGTTGCGGATGCTCCAGAGTATTATTCCAAAGGCTAGGATGGCAGGGTAACATAGACTTTTTTATATTTCGAATTGTCCTCATGTTGAACTTCAATCGTTGAGAGATGTCACAAATCTAGAATCATCCGGAACCCTGACCGTGATACTTCAGAGAAGTTGGAAAATAAGAACTGGCTTTGTTGATCTCTCCAATCTCTGACGGCCACCCATCATCCTGGGTAAATCACTTCCCTTTGTTGCTCGCCCCAAACCCTCGACCAGGACAACTTATCTAGCCCTGGCGAAACAGTTGGAACAGATTAGACTCACTTATCATGCATTATCAATCTAAAAGATGTGCCTTGCGGCACGTGTAGGTTCACAAGGCTCGTAAAGACGACACCTGCCAGTACGTACGAGGCATTTGGCATACGGGTGACGGCCACCATTACACGGGTCATCTAGGATCTTGTTAGATTGAACGGAAGTGTCAAAGCCTTGGCTGAATAGCCGTGAACATGGTGTCTGAGACCTGGGGCCAAAGGGGCGGGTTATGGGATAGGGCCTGATGGCTTGAAACTTGACAGGTCAAGGAAGAGGGCCCTGACAGGGAGGGAGTCAAGAAGTCAACTAGCTAGGGACAAACAAGTTGAAACAATACTTCGGGCAAGGATTCAGACGCGCAAGAATGAGGACAATGAGCGTATCCTGATCTAATTCCAGTATCTGCTTGAGCTGTGTCGGAAGGATCTGGATCTGGGTAACCCTGCGAGGGGGGAGAGTGCTCTGAGCTGTTCCTTTCTCCTTTATCACTTGGGTCCGCAGACCTCAAAGGAATATGGGGGAAACAGCAGCTTTGTTTAAAGCCTCTGATGAGCTGGCTAAATTGTCTTTCAACTACTACCTCCGCAAATCAATCGGTAATGTTCGCAAAATAGTTCAAAAGGCATCTTTCCATTGGGTTCTTTCATGTGAGACAGGACGCGGGGCGGGCCCACTCATCATCGTACGGAATCATTGAATCTGCTCTATATGCACCTTGACTTCTTGCAAACCTGTTCCAAGTTTCAGTTAGTCTCTTCTGGTTGGCCTATGACTCTATCCCATCGAGTTCCAACTTGTGGCTTTCGGGATAGTGTTGCCATCCGGCCTTAGCTGATGCATCATGGGTGTGTGTGGGTGTTTGTCCCCCCGCAGTCCAATGTTACAATGTTGTGAAACCCATCACTGGACTTTTCCGTTGTCATTCTCGGAGATTTCCTCTTCATGTTACACACCGATTAAAAATACGAAGTAATTCATTTCCCCGCTGATCGGGCAGCCTAAGTCAACATAGTTGCATTGTCTCCCGAACCGGGGGCCTGGCAGAATCATGCCCACCACTTGCAAGCGAAAGGGATCCGTCTGGTGTGTTTACATCAAATCAATTCACTACTCACAAAATTCCCGCGAGGATCCGAAAACAGCACTCAGGCTTCCTCGTGAAAGATCCGAGCCGCATTTGGTGTTCACTGGTATTTGATGGCCAAGCTAATGGAGGGATGAAACTATGAACCAGCACATCCTTTGTGCATGGTTTATGGGCGTCATGTGCTGGGCATTATTGTACGAGTTTCGGTGCTTCGGTCGCTGTCAATTCCAGTGGGCGTCCAAAAACGGCGCTCAGACTTCTTCGTTCTCAACTCGGGCTGAATGCGGTACGAACAAGGAATGGTTAAACAATCAATACGAGTTTTAGTGAACGGGTGTCTTCCATGTATGGGACGTGATGGTTAAATCAAGATTCCTCGCTTTGCTGACTGCCTCGGGCCTTCTTTTGGCTCTCCATGATCGAGTTCGTGCAAATGCTGGAGCAGAGGCGCGTATAATTTATAAACGTTCCTTGCCCTCCTCCCAACTGAACCTTATTCCCATTACTCGGCATCCCTTTCATTCTCAATCAAATTGATACACACGACCACCATGGCCACCACCGGAACAGAGGCTACCGCCACTACCACTGGGCTGCCTGTTACGAGCAGTCTCTCGGATAATCGGCCCGAACCAGCCTGGCTCACCCATATAAAGGAAGAAATGCTGCGGGATGACTTTGATGACGACGAGCGGGGCAAATTGACCGCTCTCCGTACCATGCTCGAAGCGCCCGGTGACGACGCAGTGGCCGCCAAGCAAGCTGCCCGAACCGTCCTTGATCTTTACAATAACGGCTGGCTTCGCAAGCACCCAAAATGGCTTCTGGGATTGAAAGATCACGGATTGGTAAATTATCTGGCCGAGATTGCCGAGTTCACGCTTGAGTTGGGCTTCTTCGTTTCTTTCGGAAGCTCGGAGCTCAATCGGGCTTTCCTCCTCCTCATTGAGCTGGAAGCGCTTGGTCCAGAGGCATTTGGTGTCAAGGTACAAATTCACCTCCCCTATCAAGGAGATGGTCCTAAAGCTGATGGAATTTGCTCAAATCTAGGACCCCGGCTTTAGCTACTACAAACACGCCATGGCGATTGCGCTACGCGAAGTCTGCCATGGCTCAATGGGTAATCCTCCCTTCTGTGTTCCACCTACATCCGGGCCTGTTTGAGCATTTGATTAATACGCAACGTGCATACAGCGCCCCGCCAAGCAGTAGGCCCCCGTGTGACGGCTGCCGAGATTAGGAAGAGATGCGAGAGAGCCCTCTGCGTCTCCGATCTCATGGCCAAGCTATACGTGGCTGGTCTCCTCAATCATTACGAGGAGCCGTATATATATCCGGCCTGCAATATTTACGACGGACTCTGCTTAAGACCCGGCCGACCTGGACCACCACCAGCTACGGAGCTCGCTCGGAGGTGCGGCGTGAAGATCGCTGCCCAGGGCATTTTAATTGCTGGCGAAAGCCTGGCACGGGAGATCAAATCAGGGCCCCCAAGGAGGCTCCTGCATTGTGGCGAATACGAGTGGAAGGTGTGGGAAAAGGAGTTCAGGAGGCTTTCGAAGGCCATCCCCGATGACGCGGAGTGGGGGCTGAAGGAGGATGTTCTCAATGCTCACGCCAAAATCCTTGAGTTGTTTCCAGAATGGTTTGGAGCAGACAGACGTCAGTAGAGGTTAGATTAGCGTTATGTACTCGTTGTTTGGTTGTGGGCGGTGACTCCCTGGAGTCCGGGCCTCGTGCAAGAGGCAACCTACAGCAGCCCCCCTAGTTAGATTGATCAATGTTATTGAATGGAAATATTGGGGCTTTACGCAGATCTAGCGCGTCTGAATATGATTATTCTCAGGTCCTGCCAATGTGTTGTTGATTCGATTTGAGCTGACGAGGGCTACCTCGAATTATGTTTGATCCCACGCTCACCCACCACTCATGCGCGTAGCTCCTCGTTAGACTTCGATAGCCTGCCGGTGTGATAATACTAACCAGAGATGACTCGCGGGCTCAAATTCTCGCAGGGCCTTAGTGGTGGCGGTGGTCGTGTAATGATGAATCCTTTGGTGACCACTCCCCATCTGCCTTCCAATTTTCTCACTGAAACCTCACGATATTCGTTCATTTGAAACCTTCACATGGCTCCCCATATCCGCCCTTGTACCCTAAAATAAGATGGAGAGCGACTGGGTTGAGAGCGAGGCCCAGAGCAGTCCCAGAGAGCTCCAACCGCCGAATTCGATTTCGAGTTCCATCACGACGAACCTTCAACTCCACGGTATGTTTTGACTCCCATTCTGCAAGAACTGGCTGGCTCCTTTCAAAGAACTACATAACTGGGACAACCTCCGACACATGAGTCCACTGAAGATACGACTAACACAAACTGGCACCTTGAGACTGCTAGTTTCGGTGACGCCAGCGGATTGATCAATTGCAGTATCGTTGAAAATGTATCTATTTTGAATGGTATTGTTAGGCGACGGGCCGTGGACTCGTCAGCCTGGGCATAACTTTCCCCTCCAAAGTATGCATGGCTCTTCTCGTAATTGTCCTGACAACGAGACCTAAGTGAGACCTCCATAGAGTTTAACTCCATCTACGAACGATGCTGCAGCATCAACTCCGGATTTGGAGCAAGAGTTACACAAGTCTCGAGGTCGCATTGTGTGAGTTGGAATCAAATACCTTTTGTCCCATTTCTACTCTGGTACATTACTGAATCTATCATCTAGGCATATTGCCGAGAAAGCATCGTTGGCGAAGATACTCATTGTTGCTTTGCGTGCGTCTTGTCTGTGACTTCAGGGTGAAGATACAGCATTTATTCGGCAATTCAATCAAAGACACATATTGACTGCCGACATATGCTCAAAACACCGAACCAGTCCCAGCCCATGGCCCTTTCGGACACAGGTACAGTGAGATGTCATAGATATCCCTCATCCTCGTCGCTCCTACGACCGCTCGGAGGCTGTGTGAGAAGCCGGCTCTGTGGATTAAGACGATTTTGGGATTGGATCAAGAAATCTATCACTGAACCCGTCGGGTTATAGCGGCTCTAGGATGGCAACGAAATTGCCCACCAATGGTATGTGCTGTCAACGCCAGATGCAGTAATAGTCTGGCTAGGCTGAACCCGTGTCCTGTGTACCTGCCAACCACACTGTTCGAGTTTTTTTTTTTGCGCCTGGGGTTTGTGTGAGGGTGCTATTACTCTCTCCAAATATAACGTCCGTTCTCTCTTCAAGTATTCCAGTCATTAGTCCTTCTTTCAATTGACTTCTTTTTTATAATTCTCATAGATCATCGCATGTGGCGACTCCGGACAATTCTTCTATTGTTTTGCATGTCGAAGTGTCCCCTAGTTGACACTTACATGATCTTTGGCTTCCCCATATTTGGAAGCCTCCTTTAGTTACGATACCGCTCTATCCCTGTTGATCAACCATTCTGACGTTCCGTTATCATTCCTACAAGGAGAATTGCAGCAGCTTCCTGCTGGAACCATTCTAGACCCATTTGACCAACTGTTTCTTCTGTTTCATTCTTGTGGTGTGCGGGCAGGCTGCACTGCTCTGTTTCAATACTTTGTCTGAATTCACCAACATGGGTAGAACCAGCTTTGCATCTATCGAGGCTTTCCTAAACCGTTGTTTCTATCTTCGTCAAACTATAGGAATAGTCCATCCTGCATCAGGACATGACTGCCCATACACTCCTCAAGTTTAAAACATGTGACATGCAGCTCTGTGAGAAGCTCGTTAGGAAGTCGGAGACAAAGGTCGATGGCGGTAAGCTGATGGAAGATGTTCTCGATTCATAACTAATGCCCAATTGATGTAATAGCAGCCGCGTTTTACAGCAGAGAAAGGGATAGGGGTCAGCGTGACAACTTCTGCAGGGCGGGAAAAATATATTCATGAAAAGAAATTTCTTAGATACACTTGATGACTCTAGGTGACCTCGTCGTTCTCCTCTCACCTCCCACTTTCCTTTACTCGCATGGCACAAGACGGCTCTCAATTATAAGAAGACCAATGGTGACTTGCGCCAGGGGTTGCACATCAAGATCGGTACGCACGCTCACTCCAGCCTTCAAGTTCAGAGTTCCGGAGGTGGGCTCATCATTGGCTGAGCAGGCCGAGAAGTATTTTGCTTGCTCCGCGGGCTCCAGTTGGGAGAGGAGGAGAGGGTCGGTCAAGTAATGGGTGCTGACCTGCCTGTCGGGCTCATTGTTGGGCCAGTATTTGCCCTTCTCGAACTATTGGAAGGATCAACACGGTTAGTGGCCCAACTACCTCGGGGAGACTTGGAATAAAGGGGGGAATAAAAATAATAGTAATAATAAATGGAAAAAAAAAAAAGAAAGAAATCAACGAAAGAGAAACCAACGAAAGGGGACAGACACTTACAACGGGATTTCCTTCACCGCTCCACCAAATACTGCTGTTAAACACAGCCATGGTATCAGTCTCCAGGTAGATTTCTCCTTCCGCGCGCACATTAAAAACTTGCTGGCGCCACCCCGGAGGAATATTCTCGACCTCAATGCTGATGTGGCACTCGGATTCCTCGGGCTGCTCGAGGCCAAGCGTGGCGATGATGAAATTGAAGTAGATGGCGATCTCACGGACGTCACTGGGTAGATCGAAAATCACGGGCTCTAGGCCATCCACCTCGGGGCCTTCCGGGCAACCACTACCTTCCCAAGTGATGGACTTGACAGTAGGAAGCGGGGGTCCCGCGGGCTTTTCCTCGGCGGGCGGTTCTTCCTCGGCCGGAGGCTCCTCGGCAGGAGGTTCAGCTGGAGCTTCGCCGCCGTGATCGTGACCACCCTCGTCCGGTGGCTCCTCCTCGGCCGGTGGCTCTTCGGGTTCCTCTTTTGCGGGAGGCTCTTCTTTCACGGGCTCTTCTTCAGCGGGGGGTTCTTCTTCAACTGGGTCTTCTTTCACGGGTTCCTCAGGTCCCTCCTCGACAGGCTCCTCCTCGACGGGCTCCTCATCAACGGGCTCCTCCTCAACGGGTTCCTCCTCCTCGGCAGGAGGCTCTTTCTCGACAGGAGGTTCTCCCGACGGAGGTTCTTCCGGCGGAGGCTCTTCCTTAACGGGTTCCTCGACGGGAGCTTCCTCAACTGGCTCCTCTTTGGGCTCTTCTTCTTCCGCTGGGACCTCTTCAACAGGCTCTTCCTCTACTGGTTCCTCCTCGACAGGTTCTTCGACAGGTTCCTCTTCCACCGGAGGCTCTTCCTCATCTGGGTCGTCTATCACCTGAAGAGGTATGCCATCCTCGTCATCCTGGAGGATAACGAACACGCTCTTGGTCGATCCGATCTTACCGCCGCGAGATGCAACGATCGAAGCGATGTCGATGGGGACGCGGGGAGCTCTAGCTCTCCGACGCACAGGAATGGACACAGTGTTCTCAGTTCTGCTCTCAATCACCGCGCCTAGTACACCTGGAAAGGCGACGCACAGGAGAAGGAGTCCGTGCTGGATACTCCGCATTTTGTTGCAGCTGGGGGAGGACCGAAAGCGAAAGGAGGGAGGAAGAAGCGGAAGGGGGTGGATTCTCCTTCCCTAGCTACGGGGCACCGGGGATTGGAGCCATCATTGTATTTAAGTGGTTTTCTTAGGGAGAGGACGTGGAATGTAAATTGGGCGATCCCCTCCCCCAAATGAATTGGCAGGACTGGTTGGTCGAGCTCGAAAATGTTTGGCGGCTGAATGACCCGCGTATTATCACGGCCGTTGACATTAGCCCTCGCCAATGGAATAAACCACCAAAATGATGTACCTTTTTGCACTTCCGGAAGAGAACCTTCCATTTCGTATACTCCTTCCAGAGTGCTTCTTAATTAAATAAAAATTGGAGAAAATGGCCGCCCGCCGCCCCACGAATGCGGGAATCTTTGCCTGACGAAGAGCTCACGCCAACCCATTCCAAGTCTTCCGCCGTTATCCTCTTCTCCCTGCCATAGCCCAAGGTTTTATTGTGTGGGGTAAATCTTCGACGCAATTGTAATTTCGGCAGTGGCCGTGGTTATATGGGCGAGGAGAGGCGACGAGCTCTTAGCTCTCATCATCTTAGCGGAAGGTATGCATTAGACCAGCTCCAAAGGCGACTGTTAAGTCCTACCAGCGGAATATTGCAGCCTGTCCCGTGAATGTTACTGTGCCTCCTAATAAAGCAAAATACGCCTCGGAGCTGCTGCGCAGTTAGGTGGTAATTGTCGCCACTCAATGGCTGCACGTATCAAAGCTCTCGCCCGAATGTCTTCTCACTTGGAGCCAAGCCAACCTAGAACTCGGGGAATAGGGAGGATCAGTAGGACACTAAAAATATAAACAAAAAAAGAAAGAAAAAGAACCAAACGAGATGAAATACAGGCGCCGAAAATACAGGTCGGATAGGTGGACAGGGAAGAAAAATAAATCGCAAAAAGATCACCTCTCAGGTCCTTATCGGGATCGAACCGTCGAGAGTTACGAAACTCCCCCCGGAAGTGGGTTGGTTTCTAACCATTGAGCGACCTGCGGAGGCCACTGCCACAGGTAATGCACTGCCATGCTCGCTCGGCTGGAAGATTTGGTCTTGGGGGGGTATATAAAGTTAAGTCAGCAACCTGCGAAGTTGCGATGATACGGGGAAGGTGCGCGGGAGTTGAGGTCCTTCCTCGACCGCCAGGGCACAGGATTTCCATCGCTCCTAACGGTTCATTTCTTCAACGGGATAAATTGCCCTACGCTTCACGTGAGGTCTGTCGATCTACGGGACGTTTTGATCGTTGATCGCTTCTCACATTTAAAGAAACAGGTCGGCATTTGGCGGAGACTGCTTGCGTTGGTACCCTACGACTTCGTTTCAGTGAAGAGGCCATCCTAAAAGAGTAACCCAGTACAATCTACCTAGCTGGAAGGCCATCTCTCTCTGTGTGGTGTGTTTGTGAATCAGAGTCTGTATCGACACATGTGGATGCAAGGAAGTAGAAATGAGGACGACCGCATAAACAACCACCATCAGACCTTCTCTACTACCTCCTCGTCTAACTCAATAACCTTCCCAGTCAAGGCCTTATACAGCGGGCTTGCCTCTAGCGCAGGACGCTCCTCCAGTGCTTTCTCGAAGGCCCCGAAATCCCAATGGTTGTCGCCTGGTTGAGGCCACTCCAGCTCCCCCTTTTTCGTGGGCATCTCAACCCCTTGTGCCATGTGGAAATGGTAATGACTCGAGGGGCCGATAAAGTTCTGCTGACACCCCTGCAAACCCCAAGGGGAGGTGTTCGACGGATTCGACGGATAAACCTCAGCCTCTGCAACATCAGGCTCCGCGGGCGTTGTGGGGTAGATCGGCAGGCCTGTTTCCGGCATGGATGCGACGGCGTTGGTGTCGATTGATGTGAGGCGTGCAACATCGCCTTTTCCACATTTGCACTGTCATTATTTTTGGCCGGGTTAGATTCCACGGTTCGAATAAGGAATTGTGAAGTAGAGTCCTGCTTACACATTCGTATTGCTCAAAATATTCATTCCACTGACAACATCGCGTAACCCACCGCTCATCCGGGCTGAAAAAGTGATACTCGTAGTGTACTTCCTCTCTCACTTCATGCCCGCATTCGCCGCACTTGTGTTCCGCGTGTATAGGCTTGCTCACCAACACGCGCTTCCCCTTGCGGTCGACTGACTTGAGCAGTGCGTCGCAGAGTGCCTTCTCCGAGGCGTACTGCGTGGTGAGAACGTTGGCGATAATCGTTCCCGGGCTGCGCAGCTTACTAGCCTTGCCTGTTCTCTCAACCACGAGGTAGATCTGGTGGCGGTAGTGATCTTCATCGTGGGGGTTTATCTAAGTAAACGCAGTTTGGTTAGCATATGTGTGGCTTGGTAACAGCCAGGAGAAGTGGGCATGACTCTTTCTCACCCCGGCATGATAAAGTCTCAGCCCAAGCTTCACATCAACGTAAATGTCGTAAGGGACATCATCAAAGTTCTCGAGGCCATGCTCGACGGCATAGGTGTGCTGCCTAAGGCTAGTGATGAACTGCCTAGCATACTTGGATCCCATCTCAAATATCAAGGCCCGCTGCCACTATAGCGTTCGGCAATATTAGGGGGGATTTCTTTTTTATTATTTCGGATAATGTGATCGAGGATGCGGGCAGACTAGATGGCTCCTGTCGACGAACGAGCAGTTGAGGATATATCTCTATATATACGCAGATACGTGATTCAGATTCAGTCAGGGTCTGTAACTAGAACTCGATCCTCGTGCGAAGGATTTTCGTTGACCCATTAGGCATCAATTCATAACGGAGAGATAACCTTTCTTCGCCTCATCATGTCCGGTACCCCTACCCAACCCCACCCTCCTCCATTCCATTCTAGAGGGCAAGGCTGTTGAATTCCATAAAGCCAAGCCACTTTCACATATGCAGCCACTTCAAGCTGAACCTGCCTGAGCACACCCTCCCCAAAAATTTACCACACCATCCGCGGTGCCCGCCCCGCCACGCCTATGCTGCATGCCACGTCGGCAATAGTTGCTTCATTGATTCATTCGCTCAGAAAGGCCCATCCTCCTTAAACGAAAAAAAGGGGACAGCAAGCTTGGGATGCCACCGAGGAAGTGCGTCTGCCGAGCCCTGCTGTCTATTACTAACGACTCTTATCTGCCGAACACTATCTATTGGTCGATTATAGGAAAACCCAATCTTCCTCGAAGTCCCATGGGATTGAGAATGTTGCACTTTGACGTGCATGACACTATGAGATCAGGATTGTGGGGCTGACCTTGCCTAGTAGCTCGCAGATGCAGCACAGACGCATGCTGGGGATGATCTGCTTCCGGGCACCAATTAGCACGCCTGGTTTGCGGAAACCATTTATCCACTTCGCCCGACGTCAACAGCTTATCCCAAGGTGAACATACCCGTGCAGCAGCATGGCTACACGACAATGCTTCCTTTAATTTGAGGACGGTATAGTGAGTTCTATGACCCGCATGTCGGTTGGGCACCTCTGTCCACATGTATGCGTCTCGGTCTCTTTGCGATTCTTGTCTGAACTCCGAAATGCATCATGTTTTTCGCCAGGCTATGTCTCGGTACGTGCGGGCAGATTGTTCGCGATGCCCCAAGCATTAACATGTATCTTCGGGTTGTCTTAATATGACCGTCGACCTTAAATCCGCCTTTTGGCCGAGACCGTTGGTCAGCTGCAGAACCACGTATCGCATCCGTTGACCATTTCACCATCTCCCAGTGGTTGGTATAAACCACTCAAATTTGCCACGTGCAAGTCGCCCTGCATACTAGGGATGTAAGATTATGTCGGAGCCTGCTTCATCACAGTGTTAACTAAAATATGTATTCCACTCCTCTCCTTTCTTGAGCCGAGGCAAGGGTTAAGTCCGGCATGGCGGTTGCCTTATAGCTCGACCTCGCCATGGGGTTTCCGACTTTCAGCTGAAATCCCCCACCACCCCACACTTTGTGAGACGAGCCGATGCCTCGATGCGGGTCGCTGGCACGGCGGATCACGGCTCACGGCTCCGGCTCCGGCTCCGGCTCCCCTTTTGACCTTATGACGCCCTCTCTCGAATCAAGCGGTCCTTTAGGTGGGTCGCAGGTCTAATAAAACACAAGCGAGGACCGTTTGAGGGGCGCCAAGAGTAATTATTCTCGATGGCGGCGGTCTGCTCTATTCTACGTGACAAGGTCGAGGAATAAATCCCGCTTGTCCTGGGAGAAAATACATACAGCGTCACATATACGGAATGGACATACAACCGTGTGCCTCTATGATAAGCACTAACATGTAGAACATAGGCACAGTAGATCACGCTCGCCCAGCGAAGCGCTCTCTAGCACGAGTTGAAGCCTCGTAACCGCATATAAGCTAGCGTGATCAATATTCAAGACGCAGCCCACAGTCCACTGTCAAGGGCATGGTTCCTCCTCTTGCACTGTTTCAAGCAAGGCTTCTGCCAGACCGTCCATGCATTATTCTTGTGTTTCCTTCGGGTTTGTTAGCACATTGGGAGGTCGCTTAGACGCAACGTGCTGTCACAGGACGCACCTAAAGGGGAGCGAATGGGGACGAAAGCACCCAGATCTCCACCAGCCCTGGCTTCTTCCGGTTTTCGCCCTTCCCTGTATTTTTCGGGTGTTCCTGATCAGATTGATCCAGGAGAACCTGCCTGTCCGACTCTATGGTTGCCCTCCGTTCCGGTTCGGTGGTTGCACGTCCCGTCTTGTCCTTGTTCAGTGACTTCATAATTTGCTGGGGTGAGAAACTTATTATTCCGTAAGTTAATTGTTCTCTTTGGGCTTTGGATTTACTACTTCATGTCAAAATAGCCCTACTCCGGGGAGGCACAGAGAATATATAATAAGTGCATACCAGCGCTGTAATGCTGTTTGCAGTCATCGGGGAAGAAATGATGTCATGCGCACGCGCCTCATGCCACTTCGGCAAGATCACTAATCGCGGGGCAGAAGCGGTGAGCCGTGGCAAGCCAGCCGAGGTTCAAGTCGATTAATAATAAACCCAACGCCCTTTGATGAATTACACACGCTCGACAGGCAGACTTCGTTCATGGTATGGGTGGAAAGCTCCTGTCGGTAGAAGGGTTCCTAATTGACAGTTCAACCAGAGTTGCGGGCGGTCAGCCCATCCGCTCGACCAGTGGACTTTGGTCGCCGAGCCGGTCTGGTGGGAAAGGATATTAGCGGATTAGAAATGAATAAGGTTGAGATCGTCCACCAGGGTAAGAGGGTTCACTCCCTTTCCGTACAGTTGGGCATGGAACCACTCTACTCTAGTATTGTGGCCATTCTAAGGCTGCCGAGACATGATGCCGATGCTTTCTACATCCTTTGGAGGAATAACGAAGAGTGCAGTAAGATTTTGTCATGGCCTACATGGAGATCCGGCGACGGCCCCGCCCGGACATAACCCCATTTATACTCGAAGCCGCTGGCTGGCCCGTCCGAGGTATTTCCTCGGACTTTCTCATGTATTGCTTCTATCCCGGGCCGGTAGCCTAACTATTATACCCCTTTTCCTCGTCTCTATGATGAATCCTTATGGAATTCTGGTTTCTGTCATGTCGACATTAATATGGTGACGAAAGAATTTAAAGATATGCAAGGCGTTATCCCATATCGACGGCTAGTCCATAGCCAGAAGGACTGCATTCCAAATCTGTAAAGCCTCTGATAATACATAAAATACAGTTATTCTCATAATTGTCCAGTCTTGCTATATTTCGGCCGGCCGAGCTAGAGAGGTATTGAGAAAAGATATGGGGAACAGCGACACCAAACGAACCCCACAAGCGAGCACCTGCCCTTTCAAAGGAGCCGGCGCACCAGGGTGGAGTTGCTATGGGTCGACAGACTTTAAATGGACAGCACGTCCCTGTAAATCCCAGTCTGCTACTACACCTTTCTTGTCCGAATCAGTAATTAATAGTTTCCGCGAAACCACGCTTCTGCTCCTCGACTGGCTCACGACTCCTGGATGTTGTCAACTCCTTCTAGAAGCTCTAAAGGTTACTAGGCTGATATTATTTTGCGGGCACTATTGCTAGCAACCGGACGAGACGGCGTTTCTGTCGTTTCAGAATTTAGTGCTGGGGCCACGATCACCAGGATCAGATTGTATCTTCTACAATTCCGTGGGTAGGTATCCCTCCCCCGCTTCCTCTCTCCAATCCCCGATAGAGGAGGCTCCGTAGTACATAATTACGGCGCCGAAGCTATTCGGAGGGGACTCTGAGAAAAGCGATGCTGGCTGGTGATATCTGCTGCTGTTAGTGCAGCTTAACCATAATCTGTGTTGGCTGTTAGCGATTCAGCATTGGTTGGTTATGTGCAATTGATACCTTTCTAGATTTTTTGGTCTAACCCCTCCTGCCAAAAGATTGCACCTTGTGCTTTCCAAGCTTGCGACTGCCGGAATCGCAATCGCCACCGTATCTTAAACTTCGCAGGCGGAAGGTGTAAACTCTCATCCCGTTTGAAGACTTCTCTCGAAGCCCATCACGTGTCCTTTCAAACTCAGCTGTGCCTACGTATGGGGAGGACATCTCTCCATAGAGGCTATACAAAGAAAATTCCTCCAGCGTAAACATTTCAAACCAACCATGCCCGCGAACGGTATCGAGCTCTGGCTGGCCAATACTGCGGATGCAACAGGAAACCCCCAGAAGGTGCTTCCAGGGAAGGCGAAGGGTGGTGATGGCCCGTGCCGACGTTCTGCGGATCTACATAGCGGCATCGACGACGATGACGACCTCGACCAGGAGCCGTCCGAACCTTCGAGTAGTAGATCGACAACTACTTGGTCAATTCGAAGCATGAGATTCTTGCTGGAATCCGCTGGAATTATCCGGGATGCCTCTGAGCTGGTCGATCTCCCAGCCGATGCGCATAACCTCTACTCGTTCATTGACGATGTTTCGTATGGGGGAACCCCATATGTTCCTGAAGCCATTCAGGTATTATCGATTTCTATCACTACGCTATGCTTATCCTGTGTAAGTGGGCCCTGGGACGTGACTTCCATGCTAATTCCTTGGTCTCTTCTTTCAGGACCGCATGCCCCTCCCCATCGCTAACCATCTCCATCTCTCCAACTACCACCTTGAACCCGAGGCTGCTATTGTCGAATTTCAAACCTTGAGCGACATCTTAGATGAGGCTCGTCGATGTGACATCAACGACGTGCTTGAGTCTCATTGGAACTCTGCCGTCAACTACCCCCTGCTCCGAGTTGCGCTTCGATCGTATCCTTGCGATGCAAATGTGAAAGTTTGGGATGTGTAGGTTTCCTGGCTTGGCATAAAATTATCCTTCACAATATCGCCGCGAAAAAACTAACTGTGGACTTAGAATGGGCGCTACCATTATTGAAGAATACGTCCCACACAATCTCATATCCAACCGTCCTACTCAAGTAGACCTCTGTCTGGCTTTGGAGCCAGAGGTCGCTATGAAGAACTTTATAAGCAACAACGACGACACACCCATAAACCAAACTGCATACAGTCCTTTATACGATCGGTTAATTACCGTGGCGATTAAGACGAAAGCCCTAGCCCAGAATGCCACGGGGACACCCCAACTCCTCGTTTGGACCAGGGCTTGGGTTTCGCGGATCCGCCACATCGCCCCAGAGACAACGATCCCAGCCCTGCCAATGATCCGAATCGTTAGAAATGACTGGTACATGTCATGGGCCTGGATGGAGGGGGAGATCATGAGATATTCTACGGACGTACGCTTCGGAGATACTCGCAGCGTCAGAGGAATGTATCAAATCTTGGCAGCTCTAAGGCATCTGGCGGACTGGATTGGCAATGTTTTCAAACCCTGGGCTATTCGGTTGTTCCAGTAGATATGCCTTTATCGTGGGAAGGAATGCGAAGAGATGCCAGTTGGTGGCGCCGGGGTAAATCCTTCCACACGATCCTTATTCAAGGCCAGACGACCATGTTCTTCCACCCTCCATCGGATCCAACCAAAGCCACGACCACGACCACGACCACGACAAAGTGGGAAAAACATCCACAATTCTCCCCTACGGATACAGCTACCAAAGACCAAGTATCGCGTTCGATCTACTTAGAGCTAGATCAAATGACAAGAAAAGATGTTCCAAGGGTTGCGGCAGGCCGAACTGTAAGTAGCCTTATGCAGTCACCAAGAATTCGGGACGATGGCTCAAGTGGGCCATGATACCGTACTTCGAGGCTATCATTTCTACGCTGTTGCCCTTAGTATCTGCTTCAGCATCATATCTCTCGGCATGTCCGTATTGCGTTGGTGCATGGCGCAGTGGGCATCTCGGAGAGCCACACAGAAAGAGCCGCAGTCACAGCCACAGCAAAGCCAAAGAGCAACACACCCAACCTCGCTTACATCGATATAAGGGCAGAGGGGTTCCTGCGACAATAGAAGAAGAAGGACTTAGCCAATTAGTAATTTTGGCTTGCAGTTAGAAGGGGGACGCATTCGGCTGAAGATGATCATTTCCCTTGATCTCGAGAGCCGTTTCACAAGAGGCATTCTTTTTAATATTACACTTTCTTATTACTTCGTGTCTCTCTCCTTTGACTGTGATGCTGTGCGAAGCGGATTCCCACTGACCATTGGGTTCCCGACACCCCACGAGGCTATTATGACCGTGTCTAGACCGTTGAACGATTTCGATGTCGTGCCGATCCCACTCACGCACACCTTCAGGAGGGCTGGGATATACACACTTCAAACTTGAGTCGTGCTGCTCAACTCCGACAGAAATACGATGTCGGGTTTAATTTCCGGTAAAATGATAGTCAAGTTCTCATATATCAGATTTTAGAATTAGAGCCTATCATAACGATAAGTAACATAAGGTTAACACCCGTCTCCGATCTCACGCTGAGTCCATTGATGCAGTGCCTCGTATTATGTTTCGGACCCGTAGATTGCAACACAGACCGCCTAAGGCAAGCAAGTTAATAGGTTTCCCAGCTTCTGCAAGACTATGGCCTGCTTCTCCTCCGGCGCCGTTGTCTTGTCGGTTGCGTCACCGACACTCACCGAGATAAAACATCCCTCGTGGTTCACTACGCTTGTCTCGGTTGGCAGCCGAGTTCCGCCGCAGTGGTTGACATCAGGGGCAGAAAACAACCCAATGTTGATTCTGCTTAGCACCCATTTGAAATCATCTGCTTTGGTGCACTCTCCTCCGACCTCGGGAAAGTTCACATTCAACCACACTTCCGAAGGCAGATATGGCTTTCCACTAGCTAGCACGGCATCTGTCAATCGACGGGCTAGTTCGCCATAGACAAGACTTCGCGCAGGAGGTGGCGACGTATTCCAGGCAAGAGTACCGTCTGATGCACCAGAGAAGGCGATAGATGGAACGCCGGCCTCGTGAGCGGCATATACAGCAGCGCCAACGGTGCCCGAGAAAGGCACTGATAGCCAGAGGTTCGAGCCGACGTTAGGACCAGAAACAGCGATGTCAGGTAGTTGGCCATTCCAAAATTGGGTTGAGATCGTCGAGATGCCGAAGCGCATCGCAGTAACAGGGTAGCTGTTGACCCAGTTCAGGCGAGGGTTGGTAGTATTGGTACCAATCGCTCCGCTCCCTGCAGGACAGGAGTTGTATTGGCATGCCTGTGTTCTTGGAGAAGGATCTGCATCAAGGGAGCCTAAATGCCAGGTTAGAGACACTTATTTCATCCGGGACAACCAACTCCAACTCACTAGAGCCAGATTTATTGTCGGCAGGGCAAGAGAGGACAACGTCATGGCCGGCGGCGTTGAGAGCGTCGTTGAACGATCGAACGTAGAGTTCGGCCCAGCCATCGTCGTTAGACTGGAGAATGCGAGCCCCGAAACTCGTCCCAGTGAAAAGCCCGATGGCCGAGAGCATAAAGGTGGAGAATCGCATTTCGGGCAACTGAAAACGGACTGAATGTTCATGCTGTGAGTTTAGAATTCGCAGTGCTCGATGGAGAAACGGCCTCTGGGATTGACACCGCCTTTTATCTCCTTGGAATTCGCAAGATGGATGTCCAAGGAACCCAGTTTCATTTGGCGTTGAACAAACATAAGGTCGCATCTGTTATTGGCTGGGGATGCTTAACGCGTACTCCGTACTGATTTCGGCGTAAGCTTCCGGTTTTGGCTACCGAGGTGCGGTGAGCCAACCTCCACGTGGGTTTGCCTACTACGATCCTGTTGATCGAATCGGAATGGGCGGGTAGGTGCAGAGAGAGCGCTTCCCATTCAGATTAGTCAAGAGGCGGTGGTGTTCGCGAAGATGCTTGGTTGCAGTGCCAATCAAGCGGCCCTTTCTCACAAAGGTAGGTCTGCCGCAGCTACCTTTTCGAATACCGATATCCGGAGGCAAGGTTGCGATGAGCTCAGATATTTTGTCTACTATATACTTGTAATATTTAACGGAGAAGTGCCTGAAGAAATGGCGGATGGTCTTGGCTCGAAAGCCCACGATGTAACTGAACTCGGAGCATCGTATCGCTTTTCGTTCTTTAAGCTCTAGGCATGCGATAATTTGGATGACAATTAGCCATTAATTCCAATTCACGGCTCACAATCGAATAATATGGCCATAATGCCTAGGCTCTCTGACAGACCTGGTTAATTCGAAGCTTTCGGCGCATGTTCAGGCTGGAAGAGCAATGAGCATGGGAGCCCTCATTCAGGACCAGTTGCGCACACGCATACGGGGATGACCCAATCTTTTTTGCTCGCCAATTCAAGGCCTTTTCTGGTATTTCCGCTTCGGGCATTTTACGTCGCTATCACGCGTCCATTAACTGGGTGAATGGAACTACTAAGGAGAAGAACGTAGACGCTGCCGCATTGTAGAGCAACACCGGGTCCTGAGATCCTCCCCTAAATGATGGGATCATCGGATTAGCCTTGAGAGTCCAAAATATGAAGGCAGAAAATAGGAGCCAAGCCAATAACAAAACTAGGCCCGTCAATACCCATGAGAAACTTCCCAATTGCGAAACCATGACTTGCCCATAATCGGCTTATCTCTTGGAACGAACACGAGATATTGGAAAGATCGGCTGAATCGGAAGCGAGGCGGAACCCTGATTTCTTGAAAGCAAGAAGATCGGGTTGGTTGCCATCATCTGGCCAGAATTGTAGACAGCGATCGGATGGGCTGAAGCCAACAAACTTACAAGCCTACGAGACTTGATGTAGCTGAAACTCTTAACCATGATACGAAATTTTAATTGGAAAGCTGAGAGGGTCTGCGTCTAGGCTATAGAAAAATCGCGACTGGCATGTGAAACGCAAACCGAGCGGCTTAAATACCCATCGCTGTTGTTAGCTTATTCCACCGGCTCTTCTCAAACCGTGACCTGTCGATGGTTTGTGCTTCAACTAGATAATCTGAGCAATTATTGACCCTTTAGATGGTGAGTCGTTGCAGCCAGTTGTGTCTGTCTCTCTTTTTTTTTTTTTTTTTTTTTTTTTTTTTTTTCCAACTGGCGCTAGATCCTTCGAGGCGCGGCTCTGTAACAAACACACCTTGAAAGGTATAGTCTGGTTGAGATTATGCGGGTTTCTCTTGGCAGCGGAGAAAGAACCCCTCTCACTAAGCCTTTGGAGGTTCATGATTTGCAAAGTTGGCATCGAGTGCTACTTCGTGTTGTCACTAAATCGCTAAAGGAAGGGGTAAGCGAAGCCTGCATTTTGGTTGAAAGCGGAGGATCTTTTCCTTTGGTCTTTCTCTACTAACCACGGCTGGACCATTCTTGGCTAGTAGGGTCGTGTGTACTATATATACTCGCGTGGTTACGTCTTCGTTTTCGCTTCCACATCCTCGCCAGCGTCATTCATAGATATTTTGGTTTGAAAGCATCACCTTCGAGCAATCATTCCGCATCAACCACTCAGGCCAAAATTGTGATAGAGTATCTGGTGTACTTTGGAGACCATGTCGCTCGATATCCACCCTTTCGACCCTCTCAAGCCCGACGAGATATCCAGGGTGAGTCTCTTATCATGCCTTCTTCCTCACGTTGAAGCCTAGATTTTCTCATTGAGAATCTCTCTACAGGCTGCCGAGATTGTTCGGCCACATTTCCCTGGTCGAGATGTCAACTTCCGCGTCATCACGCTGCGGGAGCCTCCCAAAGAGGAGATGATCCCCTTTCTGGAGAAGGAGCATCGTAACCAGCCCATCGGGAAATTTCCCACACGATGCGCCCGTGTCGAAGTTGTCCTAGAGAATAAAGACGGTAAGCATCAGCTCTTCGAGTTGCTCGTCGACCTCGATGAGAACCGGGTCAAAGCCAAGCAGCACCTCCCTGGCAAGTATTCGTATATCGACGCCGCCTACATGCAAAAGGTCGGAGAGGCGTGCTTGGGCGATGCTGGTGTCCAAGAGGAGATTCGTCGCCTCCAACTGCCCGAAGGCGCTACAGTAGTTGTTGAGCCCTGGACGTATGCCACGGACGGAATGAATGACGTGAAGCAACGTATTAGCATGGTATGCTTTCATGACTACCCCGGTTCTAAGTAGTAGAACACTCACTAATAACTATCGCGCCCTAGTGTTGGTTTTACCTCCGCCTGGTGGAAAACCCTGATGCAAACTACTATGCCTATCCCCTCGATATCTGCGCCGAAGTATCGGAGCATCTAAAGGTCCTCAAAGTTTACCGCTTACCAACTGCGCCCCACGAACGCATCCACAACGAGCCTCGTCCCTTTGACAGGCGGAGGATCCACTCACAAGCCGCCAGTGAATACCACCCCGAACTTCGACCCAGCCCCAGGACCACCACCAAGCCTTACCAGGTCGTCCAGCCCGAGGGCCCCTCCTTCACGATCCGCGGCAATCAGCTCACCTGGGAGAAGTGGCACATTCGCGTCGGCTTCAATTACCGCGAGGGCCTGACCCTCCATGACATCCGCTATGACGGACGCAGTCTCTTCTACCGTTTATCTCTCGGGGAAATGTTTGTCCCATACGCTGATCCCCGTGCTCCTTATCCCCGTAAAGCCGCGTTCGACCTGGGAAATGATGGCGCGGGTGTCAACGCCAATAACTTGCAGCTCGGCTGCGACTGTCTCGGCACCATTAAGTACTTTGACGCTCACCACAACACGAGCGACGGACAACCCATGAAGATGCCCAACGTCATCTGCTGCCACGAGCAGGATGATGGAATCTTGTGGAAGCATACCAACTTCCGAACCGGCAACGCTGTGGTGACCCGGTCCCGGATTCTTGTTCTACAGACCATCATCACCGTTAGCAATTACGAGTACATCTTTGCCTTTCACTTTTGCCAAGACGCTTCCATATATTACGAGGTGCGCGCAACGGGCATCCTCTCTACCGCACCCACGCAGATCGACCTTAAGGAGAAGACTCCCTACGGCACCATTGTTGCGCCGGGCGTCTTGGCTCCTTACCACCAGCACCTCTTCTGCCTGCGTATCGACCCTGCTCTGGATGGACACAGTAACTCGCTGGCTGTCCAGGAGGCCAAGGCCATGCCATACGGCGACCCCTCTGTTCACAACCCATTCGGCGTTGGCTACATAACAGAGCAGAAGATCATCGAGCAAGAGGGTGGTTTCGATCTAGACCATACCAAGGACCGGGTATTCAAGATCATCAACGAAAACAAGATCAACCCTATCACAGGCACACCAGTCGGATTCAAGCTCATGCCCGCCTACAGTCAGATGCTTCTCGCCCATCCCGATTCTTTCCACGCCAAGAGGTCCGAGTTCGGCAAGCATGCCGTCTGGGTTACCCGCTATGAAGACGGCGACCACTTCCCCTCGGGGAAATACACGATGCACTCAGTCGGCGGTGATGGGATAGCATCCAAGATCAGCAGGCGCGAGGCTTCGGGCACCGCCCTTAGCGTGAGGAATAGCGACATTGTCATCTGGCACACCTTTGGCCTGACGCACAACCCGCGAATCGAGGACTGGCCTGTGATGCCTAACGATAAGTTGATGGTTGGATTAAAGCCTGTGAACTTTTTCCTGGGTAACCCGGGTCTGGATGTTGCCGTGTCGACGCAGGAAAAGAATAAGAGTGTCTTGTACAGTGATGAGAAGCAGACTGATCAGTGCTGCCGCTCGAGGATTTAATAGGAAGTGATTACAAAAGAAGATATAAACGGCGGCGGGAGGCTTCTTCTATATTAATAATGAATAGACATGCAACTTTTATTCTCCTGTCTAGCCCATTTGACCTCCGGCTGGACCACATATATCTATCGTCGTGGATGGCAAACCAGAGACAAAGCGGTACAAACCCATGGGCCTTGCGAGGAGATTGGGACTCTGCAACTCTAAGGTTACGTAGTAACCCGCCATGGTGATGGGAGTTTGGCAAGCACGAGTGGAGTGTCTTCGTGAGTAGTTGAGGGTTGGTTACCTAGCGTTCAAGCCCCGCTCTCTGCTTCCCGCGGTTATTGCCAGACAAGGATGAGGGGTCGCAGGCACACTAACCGCATCTCGGAATCTAGGCTCGAAAGGATCACCAAGTGCTCTTTGAGGAGTTGACAAGTGTTTGTGAAGGAAAGATTAACCTACTTGATGGGACTAGTTTGGTTCAGGACATGCCAGGGCCAGACCGTAAGTGAAGCTCTTGTGGTTTAGGAAGGTCTCGAATGTTAATTCGCCCTCGAGGAATATATGAAATGTTCGCTTCACCCGAAAGTCCGTGTAGTGTAGGAAGAGCAAATCTGGATCGACCGGGTATGTTCCTGCCTTCTCCCGGAAACTGGCAGCTCCTTGGCTCATCGGGCACTGAGAATTTCCACCTCATCCCAAGGTAGCTAATTCTCCACCCTTGAGCCATTGTCGCTCCCCTTTACCGCCTGTAATCTAGCCATCATCTCCTCCATGTCTTGTCTAATGACCGCTTCCATGGCAGTCTGGTTTTGATCTTCCGCCACGTCCAATGGGATTCGTCCCTGGCCATCCTGAGCCAACGTGTCTGCTCCGCGAGAGAGCAAAAGACGAGCACAGTCACCATGGCCCCTTGTAGCCGCAACGTGAAGCGGCGTGCTCCCATGACGATCGCGAGCGTTTACGTCCGCCGCGCCGTCTAGCAGCGCCTTCACCACCCCGAGCTGTCCTTTCTCGACCGCAAAATGTAGAGCCGTTCGGCGTCCTTCGAGGTGCCTGCCCTTGATATCGAATCCTGCCTCAATGAGCCGCAGGGCCGCCCTTGGCGTGTCGCTTCGGATGGCCCGTATTACTGCCGCGCCATCCTTCCGCGCCCCTGCGCCAATCAAGAGTTCAGCAGATTTACTGTCTCCCTGCGAAATGGCAATTTCCAGAGCATTGGTGGCGCCGCGGAGGCCGACTTTATTCTGCAACAGAACATCGACGACGTTGGCGTGCTGGTTCAAGGCGGCCCTGTAGAGCATGGCATCGCCGTTCTCGACGACAAGGCCTCTTTCCAGGAGGAGGGAGACGACATCAGCGTGCCCTTCGGCACAGGGTGTGACGAGGTCGCTGGCTTCCACAACATCGACGGTAATGAGACCAAGATCCAATAGCAACTTCATTGGGCCGCAATGCCCCTCTTTGGAGGCGGCCCAAAAAGCTCTCTGCGCCACTTTCTGGCCTCCGTAGTCCCGTTGCGCCAAAAGCGATATAAGTTCCGTGTCGTTCCATCTCGCCGCTAACACCAAAGGCTCAAAACTCGTTCCGGCTATGGATGCCCAAGATGAATCGGCCTCGAGATATGAGAGCAGATTTATCAGCTCGTGGTTCTTGGTCATTATCGCATACCCGGTCGGGCTGAATTTGCTCGGTTGCTCCCAGAGATTCGGCTGCTTCCAGCCGCCCAGATACGGCATCTCTCTTCCTCCATTGATGCCCGGGTAAGGGTGTGTGTATAGATATTCAACTAGTTCCAACCAGTTGAAGTAGCACGAAAGCCAAATGGGGCTGGCCGGGGCTATGGATGCCCGATCGAGATGTCCCTCGCGCTCAATACTCCACTGTCCGTCCAGTTGTAAAATCGCACACCAGGCATGGAAAGGCCGTGCGACCTTATACAGGCCGTTACCTGGGTCGGCTTTCTCCAGCATAAACGATTTGAGGAGATCCGCCAGGGGGCTGGTCTTTCTGGACTCCCCTGCCTCGTTGATATGGTATACGAGTTCGCATGCTGCGTAAACGCTTGGAACACCTGGTTGAATATCGGAGGAGAGAACTGCGAAGAGCCCGTCACGGCCCTCTCTCATTTCTAGGACGATTTCTCTTCTTCCCCAGATCCTTGCTACTTCGCTAGCCGCACTAATATCATCTGTTGGGGCATTGTCCTCTTCCTCAACGTCAACTGAGAATTGCGATAAATCTTCGCCTCCCTTTATAGTATCGTCCTCATCTCCTTCCCTGTCGTCTTCCACGGATTTCGATGAAACTTGGCGATCATAATAGGCTAGGACCTCGTCCTTCAATTCATAACCCTTATCCTCTTTCAGAGCCAAGTGAAAATATAGCACGCAGGCCTGGGCGATAGCGCTGTGGCCTTGTGCAGCAAGGTAGGAGTCAACCCCGCGGTTCTCCAATCGTTCAAAAAACTCTCGGACGGACAAATGAGCGAATTCAAGCACAGTAGACCGATCCACGACCAAGTTCGCACATACGTCCAAGATTTCCTCGGTTGTAAAGGGGTCACTAGACTCTGGTGCTAGTGCAACCGAGGCCAGGACGGAAAACCCCTCGATCGAGATCCGGCGTCTGGCATATAGTAACCACTGGAACGTAAGCGTGGCAAGCTTAAAGGCGTGTTCTCCGGAGTCCTTTATTTGTTGGAAAATTTCCCAATATGAACTCTCAAGTGTAACTGGAAGAGCCCCGAGGCGAGCCCTCACATCCGCAGCTACTTTAAGATGTCGTAGCGACTGGATCTGAAGATCAACCCATCGAAACCTGTGAAAAGTAATGAGGTAAGGCTATAAATCAACTTTGGGATCATCAGCAGTTATCAAGCCCGAGAAGGACTTACATTCCGCGGGCGCCAGTCTTCAAGGCATTGGTGATTTCCTCTCGTAGATCGGGCCCAAGCTTCCCATGGAGGATCTTTGCAGCGGTCAATTGCTTAGCTCTGCAAGAGTAATAGTCAGCTTCGAGAATCGGCTTTGGCCCGACAGTCTGTAAAACATCGTAAGGTTTAAAAATACATAAAGGCCTCGATGTCCTCTGCGTTATCCTCTGCTTCGATATAGATATTCGGCGATCCCTTTAGGTAAAGCGCTATGTCGTAGTTGCTTCGGCTTGAGATGAACAGTTTAAGAAGGCAAGGCGATTCCTGAAGGATACGGGTGAGTGCGTCGAGGAGTTCCTGTCGATCGTCGTGGTTGACTTCGTCGAGCGCGTCGAGTACTATGGTCACCGCAGGGTATTCTTCCAGAAGCTCTAAGAGAACATCGGTGCACTCGTCCATAGTCCACACCTGGTCCTCAAAATTACCAAAGCCGGCGATTGCCTGCTCATAGAAAGCCATAACCGGCGGAAGGATAGGCATACCCGGGCTGACACTTGCGAGTTGGCGAACTAAACTGCCTAGGATCTTGTCACACTGGGCCCGGTGAGGCTCACTTGGATTCCTCATGCAGTAAAAGTAAGCAATGTGCTCGTGTTCCCTGATGTCGTCAATGACCAGGGACGCTAGCTTGGTCTTTCCGGATCCCGGGATACCGTGTAGCCAGAGGACCGAAGACGAGCTGCTCGACCGCCAATCTCTGTAGGACGACTTCTTTAACAACCACCCCCCAGATCCTTCAAGGCGACCTTTCCTAGCCGTCTTGTGGTGAACGCCGTAGGGCATTGTCGATATCGCCTTCAGCATTTTCGCTCGAGTGTCTGTCTCTAGCTGATCCTGAATCTTTTGAAGCCTATTATCGATGCGCTTGATAGGCTGTTGGAGGTCCGTTAGGATGGATTGCAGAGAGTCCAACCTCGCTCCAGTTCGATCATCCAGGTCTGCGAGTTGTTGTTTGATGTCTTCAACTCCGCTCAGAGTGTTGCCCAAGTCCTCGGCTTCTGCAAGACGGGCTAAACGTTGGAACTCCTCTTCTGCCTCCACTATCGGGCTAAACTTGGCGTCAACATCACCCTTGAAAACTGCAACACTCCTGATAACGCGCGTCGTAGTGTTAAAGCCATAGTAATGCATTACTTGCGCCAGATACCGCAGGATGGCGGCGTACAAGTTTGTGATGGCATCGGAGAGTCGACGAAGGAGCTCCTGACTGACGTAGGATGCCCTGTTTAGCTAAGTGTACAAAGCGAGGCTCGGGTCGCCTTTCCCTTTTCCAGATGATCACACTGCTTTACTTACCTACGTTCCAGGTTCTCGCGCAGATAGATTATCTCAAATATCTCGCAGCGCGCCATAATGTTGGCCACCTTTTCGACAGACACGAGTATTTGCCCGAAGACTTGAACGTCATTCACACTGACCTGTAGGATCAGCCGTACGGCAGCCCAAGGAAGCGATGCTCCAGTGGTATCATACTGGACTGCGGTATCGCCGATTTTCTATTATCCTCACATCATCAGTGTCTCCCCTCCCTTGATGCTGCGTCTAGATCCGAGTCGCTCACCACCATCCTTTCGATCCACACACAAAGCTTCTCGAAAACGTCTCGCAAGATAATCGTCCGGTCCTTGATTCTTATCTTCCACCGCTTCCGCAGACACTCTTCCTTGCGCTTATTAACTGCGTTGAGCAAGTTGGCCAGTACAGTCCGGCGGTCCCCTATGGTCTTCAAGTCGATTTGAAACTGCTCTTCCTCTTCATTGTTTAGCTCCTTGAGCGCTTGAGACCATCTGCTCACAAATGAGCCCTGCTCCGCAGCTTTTCCGTCCCCACTCTCTGCGAGGACTGGAAGTTTGGGTAGCTCTGGTTCTATCATCGAGCTTGAGGTAGCTTCCAGCTCGGCGCTTCCGGCCATGTTGACGATCAAGTTGCATATGTCACTAAGAAAAACAAGGAGTTGAACGGCTGTAGAAGAAGTACAACAAACTCAAGTGATTCCCGCGGCGGGGGAAGCGCGCGAATTTCCAATCTGGGACGAAATGCATGAGCTGATCAGGCACCCTTCGCACAGCCACAGGCCCGCCAACAACATCCAATCAGGCAGGCCAGAAAACAGACACAAAAAGGAACAGGGTTGGATATTTCATTTTCTTGTGGGTATTACTGAATTCGTGATGCGTCCCTTGACAACTTCCTTCTAGTCTCGAACAGATTCGAAATGAAAATGACCAGGAGAACTAACCCGTCGTATGAATCCGTGACTTGGTCATTCTGATGCCGACACTGAGAATAAAATATTCGTTTAACAAGGGCGAATGGCGAAGATAAGAAGAAAAACAGCCAACTGCTAATGGGGTTGAGGAGGACAGCGGGATGCCAGCAACCCTCTGCCCTGGTCATGTAGTCACCTAGGTATCTTTTCTAATAATAACAGAATTAAGTTTAGCTCATGACCGAACTTTTGGGGGCACAGAATAAAGGGCGATATCCTAAACTTATAATATTTACGTAGAGGAGATTTTGAATCATCGTGATATGAGGTATTGGCGATATTTAAGACTATCCAGGCTGGTTGCTAACTATCGACTCTAGGCACTGAACGCGAATTTGTTCTCCTTAACCCACTCGCTGAAGGTGGTTGGCTGTCTCCCACCAAACTTCAAAACATTGGCCACTGCCTCTTCGTATGCGGGTCCTGAGTAGTTCTCATCTACAGCGTTTCCTGGTCTCGTGCTCAGATGGGTCACCAGCTCCGCTGCAAGAGGTGGCGGCATACCGACCTGGTTGATGAACCATTCCAAACCCTCCTCTTTGTTGATTTCCGTTATTTTGATATCTTTCCCAAGCTCGGTTCCAATTATTCCTATCGCATCCTTCAGCGATACGAGCTCTGGCCCAATAAGCTCCACAGCATTATCCTTCAGAGGGGCCTGCGGTCCTTCAACGAGCAGCGAACCGCAAACCCTTCCAATATCCCCAGGAGTAATCCAATCCATCCTGGCTTCCGGATTCAAAACCCCTGCTTTCCCCTCCTTCAACTCCTCCCTCCACCAAAACGAATTGCTTGCGAAAAACGCAGGGCGCACTGCCACATAACCACCAGATCCGAAAACATCGTTCAAGCTGACTTCGACCTGAGCGTGCGCGAACGCAACAAAGGCGGTTGGGGAGACGCTTCGTATGTCTCCCTGGACCGAGATGCTGCTTAGCAGGACCACAAATTCGATCCCAGCATCTTTTAGGGCAGTGATGCTGGCGCGCACGTCCGCAGTCTGTCCGAGAGGGGCGTAGATGAATGCACGCTTCGCTCCAGTCTTCTGCACCGCTTCGGTGATGGTCTGGGGTTGGGTAAGATCGGCTTGGACCCTCTCGAAACCGGCGGCCCGTTCTTGCTCGGCTGAGAGGCCAGGGATAGGTTTCTGAGGATCGCGAAGGGCGAGGATGACTTTCGCGCCTTTCTCTTGGGCGGTGCGAGCGGTGGCAGAGCCGACGCCGCCCGTTGGGCCAAAGACGATGGTGGTGATGCGAGACATTTTTGCAAGGACAATTTCCCGGGTTATTAAGAATAGAATAGGTGAATGGAGGGTGAAAGACTCAGAGCTGAGATGAATGGTTGAAGTGTGCTGATGCGTTGAGTAATTCCGAGAACGAGCAGCCAGCGGGGATATGCCATTATATACCTGAAGTCGTGTTCCCATTCATTTTATGAAGCACGTCACTGAGTGTGTCGCACAACCGGCCAGTATCCTCCGTCTACCAGCAAGCTCCAGAAGCAACAAGCATCGGAATGAATAAATCGGGATGATCAACATCAATCCTGCACGATTTATCAGCAGAGGCTCTATTATTAGCTCCCGAATGATAAGGGGAGGCCATCGGCGGCCGGCCGCCGACCGTTATTTGTAAGATGCTTCGCTGGCTTTTGAGTGACACTGTCGGGATCGGGCATTGGACGCCGACGTGCCATGTGCGGGGCTGCCTGGATACAACAGCGTAGTTCAGACCTGCAACGGACTTTGGACTTATTGAGGCGGTAGCTCCGTTGGATTATGAATCATGCTATGCAGATAAAATTAAGGTTGGGGGAGATCAATTCGTCCACGGCGGACAGCCAACTTAACCTCATCCCATCAATCTCTCGACATCCCCACCAAGACCCGCCACCAAATCGGCGATGGAACTGGCTGGTTTCGGGGATAAGCGATTTGGCTCGGAAGGTCTTCCACCGGAGATATTTCCTAGGTAAACTAAACTTGACGCTACTGCTGTGCCCGAGCCCATCTCATCCTTATCTACGCCGAAAATACAACGAATGTGCACAATCAGCGAGCGAGACTGCGCTTACAGATATTACCAAGGCTAGAGATGACGTTTCCGATGCCCTCTTCGCTGGGGAACTGAATTGCAAATCGAAATTAAATACATCCTCGTAGTTAAATATCCTGGCTAAGAATGGTATGGGGTAGGCATTGCAGGAAGTAGCAGTTAATAACGTGTCAAGTCCTCATGCCGTGCGATTGTACGGATTAACAACTCTAGTTCCATTCGTCGCTCCTACCCATTGATCCTCGAGGCCGTCTCCGACCATTTCGACGTCCACTCTCGTTATCGTTTCCGCCGCCGCGGCTGTGCCCATGCCCACGACCATGCCCGTTCCCATGCCCGTTCCCATGTCCGTTCCCATGTCCGTTTCCATGACCATCACCGCGACTGCCGGTGGGGCGTGGCTTACATCCAGGACCTGGAGGAGGCGTCTCGGTTGGTTCAAGCCCAGGAGGTGGCGTTGTCGGCTGGGGAACACCAGGGGGACAGTGCCAATGATCGTCATGAGGTGTGCAAGTACCCGTGGGCTCGGGTTCTAGAGGTGGGCTTGAAGTGGGCTCCGGGCCTGGAGGTGGAGTTGTAGGCTCGGGCACACCAGGGGGACAATGCCAGTGATCATCGTGCGGTGTGCAGGTCTGGGTTGGTTCGGGTTCTAGAGGTGGGCTTGAAGTAGGCTCTGGTCCCGGAGGAGGCGTTGTCGGTTCAGGGACACCTGGTGGGCAATGCCAGTGATCATCGTGAGGTGTACAAGTGCCAGTGGGAACTTCTGTTGGTGGGCAGCTAATAGAAGTGCTGGTGCTGGTGATAATAGAATACCCGGCCTCCGTAAGAGCATTAGAGTCGAAAACTCCATAGCCAGTGAAGATGTAGTCACCAATGGTGTAGACTCCAGTGTGAACGTAAATCTGGTCTCCAGAATACGGAACTCCAGACGTGGAATGATGCTCTGTCATGGATGAATACCAAGATGTATAATCATCAATAGTAGCATCAATGCCCAGCCTATAGCTCGTCAAGGTTTCACATTCTTGCCCCGGTGAGTCATCTTGAGATAGAATCGGCTTTGCTAGATTCAAGATGAGCCATGTACCTAGGGCCAACCATGGCTTGCTATGCCAGATCATTGTGGAAGCAGTGATCCGTGAATTGGAAGGGAAGAAAAAGAAAAAGAAAAAAAAAAAGGATTCAAGGCAGAGTAATAACGAGGATAACCCTGAAATCCGTGTGAACTCTAGCTTTCCCTTTGTCAATCACATACCTCGGAGGGGAGCTCAGCACTTTTATCTTCCCTCGTACCCATGGCCTGGGATGTTAGGATATCGCAGCCTCGCTTCGCGTATCCAAACCCTCCCTCGACGACCTTCCCCCCACGCGAGGCGTTCTTCCTTCATCTTAGCTAGTAGAATTTACGCTGTTAACTGGTCTGATTAATGACCAAATATCACACATGCCCTCTCTTGTGTTACATGGGACCCACGGTCTTGTTCAATATTAGTTCCTCCTTTTGCAGTTCGTATAGCAGCTGAATCGATCAGATTATCAGATTACAACTGCCAAGATTCTGGTGCGCGAGAATGGGAAATATTGAAATGCACATTACTAGACCATAACCAGAGATGGCGTGTGATGAAGTAGGACGCCAAGCAATAGGCGGCCATCAAGGTCGTGTCGGCTTTCCCCAAGTTACTTGATCAAGGGGAAACATCTCGTAGAGCTAGATTCGGTGTTTACTCTGGGACGATTCCGCTATCTCTCTACTGGCAGGTCGGCTTTCCAGCTGAAAGTTCGAGCGGACCCTGATGGACTATTGCAGGGTCCCAAGTGTATCCCAGGCCAACGACTCCGACCAGGTTTGTCCCCTCCCTGCATCCGATCCCGTGTTCTTCACTATCAGGGGGTGGACCGCGTGGTTTCCCAAAGGTAGAGACCCCCAACAATTTAAACTACATTTTAGTATTACTACCCGACGCTAATGGATTCATAATCCAATATTTTATGCAAGCGGATGTCCCAATGGGCTTATGAGGGCCTGGTGTTCTTCAAGCCGGTGAGGCAGTATCTCATCGTCACTCTGTTGCCAAGAGCGCCACGATCCATTGGAACTCAGAAAGGATCCGTATTAATGATCGTTTGGGTGACTGGCCATACAAACTAAATACACGACAAGCATTTCATGTGACACTAACTTATCTATCAAGGTTACGGCCGGGATTGCCTCATGGTGATTGAGCGGAAAGGTTTTGGATGTGGTTCGTGAGAAATTTTATGTTTCAATGAGTATGCTTCCCTTAACCAGGACGTGATTATTATTCCTTCATCAGACCGCAAGCTCAAGGGACAGATGGCGTGGGGGCGAGCCTACTATGATACTGGTTGAGGGATTCGGAATCTTGAAGTTTAAGATTCGAGACGAAGGAGAGCGCGATCGTGGGGGAAGGATATAAATCTATCATCTTCGTCGTAGATCAGGACTTCCTTTTTCAAGACCACCCACCTTACCTACCAGAGTCCTGCTTTCGAAAGCCGAGTAAGCCCCCAGGGTGTATTAACTTCTGAATAAATCAAGATTCACTAACCCACAACTATGTTGTTTTCAAAGCCAAACAAGATGCTGTTCGCCGGATCCGTCCTTGCCGCTCTCGCAATTGCCCAGCTCGCCGCAGCAATGCCGGGCCCGCCTACAATCGAGAAGCGCGCTTGCACGCCGCCTAGCAACTGCCAGTATATTCCGGGTTCATCTTGCGAATATTGCTGCCCTGAAGGCCACTCACCCGATCCTCTTCGCAATTGCCACAAGCATACCCCCGTTGAATCCTGCACGCTCAGCTTCCCGCCTGTGAGCATTGCTGGATTGACTTGGCACTGCGATTCGGACCATTAAACCCAGTGTTGTCATAAACTAGGATCAAGTGTTGGTTCACCTGGAGTGAGCGCGAGGAAATGTCGACATTGTTATATAGTTCAACACTATCTGACGAAATCTAAGATCTTATAGTACTGTTGTCAAAGTAACCTGTCACTTGAGTCCTTGCCTAGCTTACCACTGTCCGAAAGTATAGGTAGTGTAAATTCTTCTATAGTGTGTTTTATGGGTATTGGACACAGTCTGTAGAATATCAACATCATCTTCGAAAGACACCATCGTCGAAGTAGTGTAGGAGGGACAATTAGTGTTATAACTGAGGATTTAAGCACGGGAGAATCAGTGGCGGGAATGTCATGTCGGCTCTCTATCATTCAAGGATGATGCCCGAGAAACTCCAGTTCATTGTCCGAAGAACTAATCAACCCAACCCGATTATATGCAAGGATACGCGAGACCTCTGCAGGGTTCCATAGATCTTGGGGAAATCGGTCCGCCTCCGGGAGCTTAAAATCTTTGCGTCCACTATTAATAACCAAGAGGTCTGAGCAGTTAGCTACAACCCTACCACTTTAGCCTGAAAGCCAAACAAAACCGGGGGTGTTTCATCTCGTACCAATGCCCTTGAACCCGTACTTCTGTTCTGTCGATCTTTGGCTTTGACTGCCATTTGGGCAAAAGTACAGGTTACCTTTTACTCAAACGAAAACCACATCTAACAAGGGGATGGGGGCCAGAAACAAGTACCCCGGATTGATTTACCCTTGCCTCGACGATATTTCAGACCCCAGCTCCCCAACTTGCCTGTTCTTCTTCTCTGCAGGCTATCCTAGACATGACAATCGAAAATTTCTCCGAATGCGGTTGCGATCGACGGCTTCGCCAGAACCCTTGAGCACGAGTCGAACATACCACATTTCAAATGCGACAAGTTAAGCAGTCTCGTCTTAACGCCGACTTGATAAATTGACCCAAATCGCATCTCTAAGCATTGAGAAAAGCCACACTGAAACCCATCGCGGCTTCGCATCTCCATTTGTGGTCATCAAGCAGGAGATCACTCTGGCCCCAGTTCCAAAGAGTCCACTATGCTGTCGCGGTTAGGGTTGGGCCCCCATGGCCCTAGCGACGAGTCAACACAATCAAGCAAGCCGTTTCCATTTAGCATGAGTAGAATACGAACGAGGACATCTTCGAGGACATCAGAGCGTGATATCGAGATGGACGCGGCAACTTCCCAAGTTTCGACGACGACGACAGCTGAGGGACCGACCCAGAACCGAACGAGAGTTGTATCGCAGATAGGGCAAGCGAGATTACGACCCCACACCCGGTATCACCGTGTCATGGGACACATAGCGCCTCTTTTCCGGAATCTGACTTTGCCGATTCCCGCGGCGATGGTCATTTTAATAATATTCGTCCATATCGGAGCACAGATGGGGATCTGGAAAGTCATCAATGCAGAGAAAGGAGGGCCAGCCTCGCCCACTTGGGCCCCGTTCTGGGTGATAATCCCCTACGTAAGGACGTCCGAAAAAAAACCGGAAGCGGAGTGGTGGAGGATCTCACTGACACCAAATTTGTTTTCAGGCCGTGATATATATTCCTTGGTGGTACCTTGTATGGGCGAATAACCGACAAGCTTGCCGGCGAAACCAGCCGTATCTCTCGAGGAGAATGCACATTATTACAGAAGTTGGAATGGTCTTTGTCGCCATACTCTGTTTCGTAATAATGCTTCTCCTCTCACGGGATGTCGCGGCCCAGTATGAGGTGGGCTTCCCATATGTAACCACCTTAGCTGCACTACTAGGCATGCAAGTGTGAGTCTCCTTTCCGACTGTCCTGCTCTTTCCATCCCTGGTCTAGTTGATGGGGAGAGATTGCTCACCACTAGGACGATAGAGCATCCCTGATTGGAGTACTAACCGGGGTAATATACGAATGCTGGGCCGAGAAAACATATCTAATAGACCGACCGAATCATATATAAAGAATACCAATAACGTTAGGAGAGCCTCGGTACGAAACCCGAACCTGGAGCGGAGGGTCTTAGGCTTTTCCGTAGATCATTATGTACTGGGGTTATGAATACAAAACATTGTATATATATTGGCGCAGACACCAAGAGAGACCTGATTGGGGCGAGCAACCAGAATTCAGTTGTAAATATCCATCACGGGCGATGTGTTTAGTTGCCTGTGACTCGTAAAGGGAGGGTGCGTTGACGTTCAAAGCGGGGCGCCGAACGGGGGGCGTGACGTCAATGTTTGACCTGGATGGTTATAGCTAGCTGCCAGAATTGCTTCCTGATAGTCTCTATAAAAAAACAAGGGAGTTCGATCACCTACAGCACCGTTTCACCTTTAGGAGGAAGCGTAAAACACCTTTTTCAACCACTTTTGACAGGCTGGACTTTGTATAGCTTCTAGTTAATGCGATGGACCTCCATCACAAATATTAGGAACAAAAATAGAAACAAAAAAGAAATTATCGTATTCGCACGAAAAGCGGCTGGGCCACTCCGAGGTTCGAACTCGGGACCTCCTGCAGTTTCCATGATAGGCCCAAAGCAGGAATCGTACCACTAGACCAAGTGGCCCTTTGTTGTGTGAGTTGTTGTGTAGAGGGGCCATAAACATGTCCTATATGACGAATGGACATGCTTCATGGTCTTTGAACAGCCTTGGTGATTGGTGACATGCTGCGTGAATGGATGCGTGACTGGGACTTAGAAACGATTGCTTTGAAACTGGAGTGAAATTAACCTACATAAACGCTCAATACATTACAGGTGCCAGTCGACTCACTCTGTTGGTGCCAGCCAAATAGAATACAGCGAGGGCGCTTGTCTGCTCGAGGAGGCCAGCACCACATGGACAAACCCGTTTTATGCCCTGTAGACCTCCAAGAGTAGAGCTGATCCGGCCGCAGACTCTTGCTCGAGCCCCACAGCAAACTCAGAGGCCTCGACCTCTGGAATTTGGGCGTGCTTCCCTACTTCATCCAATCGAGTTGTCCTACCACATCACTGATATCGCCGAAGTTCGCTTCGAATATCTTGGAGTGTCCCCACGTTTCTGCCAGGCGATGACGCCAACCATCTGCGCTAGCAAGCCGTAGCGGTGAGCTGTCGGACATCGGACAAAACTCGACAAGTTCTGAGCGATAGCGACTATTTCGATGGCCCTTTGTTTCTGACCCTCCCGTCGAACGCCATGGGATTCTTCCTTGACAAAAGTGCTCATGTTTTGATTGCTTGTTTCGGGAGTGCCGTTCTCTTTCCGAAGTCGCATCGTACCTGACCAAACAAGAGGCATATGTCGTCATCGAACAGCGACCCATGCGGCATGCGGCGAAGAATACAGCGCTAATCCCAAAGCGGAAGAACCCTTGTCCCTGTATCACATGATTGTTTCATTTGACTCAATTGACTTCGCCTCGCGTGCAGCTCCAAACCTGAACTCAATTGTTTCCCATCTTCAATTCCATCTTCCATCTTCTAACCTCATCCTTCATCCCGTCCCCGAGCTCGAGGTGCTCTCAGGTATACTTACCATGAAGAACCTGCTATCTTTAGCCGGTGCCGTCGGATTGGTGGCCGGCTCTTACATAGCTCAGGTCCCTCTGAATGGCCAGCAGATCGTGGCAGATGCGGCTGGTAGGAGTGCCGGCCGGGAGATCCCGATCGACTCCAAATCGTTGCAGGATACGATAAAAGCCGAGAATCTCATGAAGAGGGCCAAGAAGCTTTACCAGATTGCGAAGCTTTCAGAGGATGAGTATAACCATCCCACGAGGGTTATTGGGAGTGAAGGTCAGTGCCCAAGTCATCCCATCTTTCATCTTATGTCTCGCCTGTCTCGGATGAACCGAGACTCGCGTAATTTCCGCCACTGGAAAGGCCGCCGGCTGACTCATGATTCAAGGCCACGCGGGAACCCTAGCCTACATCTACGCCACTCTGGCCGAGGTTGGGGGCTACTACAAGGTCTCAACACAGGCATTCCCTGCAGTGATGGGCAATGTATTCGAATCACGCCTTGTCATCGGCAATGGCGTCCCCAAGTCTGCTGCACCCATGGGTTTGACGCCTCCGACGAGGGATAGACAGCCCGTCTTTGCCAACTTTGTCCTCGTGGCAAACAGTGGATGCGACGCTGCTGACTACCCCGAGTCAGTAGCCGGTTCCATCGCCTTTATCCGCCGTGGTCATTGTTCTTTCGGAGACAAGTCAGGTCTGGCTGGCAGCGCCGGAGCCGTTGCGGCAGTCATCTACAATAACGAGGAGGGATCCCTGCACGGAACCCTCGGCACCCCTCAACCGAATCACGTTGCCACGTTCGGTCTTTCACTTAGCGACGCTGCACCAGTACTCCGCGAGCTTGAAAAGGGCTCTAGGGTTGATGGCATCGCTTACATTGACGCAGAGGTTAAGAGCATTAGCACAAGTAACATCATCGCGCAGACGACTGGAGGAGACCAGGACAACTGCGTCATGCTTGGCGGTCACACTGATAGTGTCACAGAGGGCCCCGGAATCAACGACGATGGCTCCGGCACGATTTCTCTTCTCGAGGTTGCCACCCAATTGGCTGCCTTCGAGGTCAACAACTGCGTCCGCTTCGCGTGGTGGTCCGCCGAGGAGGAGGGTCTTCTCGGGTCAGACTACTACGTATCTCAGCTCACTACTGAGGAGAACCTCAAGATCCGCCTGTTCATGGATTACGACATGATGGCGAGCCCCAATTTCGCTTACCAGGTCTACAATGCTTCGAACGCCGATAACCCCATCGGTTCCGAAGAGCTTCGTGAGTTCTATGTCGACTGGTACGAGAAGCAGGGCCTCAACTACACTTTTATTCCGTTCGATGGCCGCAGTGACTATGATGCCTTCATTAAGAACGGCATCCCGGGCGGTGGTATCGCCACCGGCGCTGAGGGTGTGAAGAGCGATGACGAGAAGGACATGTTTGGGGGGGTTGCGGATGAGTGGTACGACCCCTGCTACCATCAGCTCTGCGACGACTTGAATAACGTCAACTTGACGGCCTGGGAGGTCAATACCAAGGTATGTAACGTTCTGTGAATTTTCGTGCTGTTCCCATCCCCCCGGTGCTCCCTTTTTTTCCTTGTCTTTTTTTCCCCCAAGCTGACCCGAGTGATTCCTTTTCTTGCAGCTCATCGCCCACTCCGTTGCTGCATTTGCCAAATCCCTCGAGGGATTCCCCAAGAGGACAGCTGATTTCGCGGTTGCCAGCACGGGTTACCGACCCAAATATCACGGTGGAAAGCTGGCCATTTAGAAGTAAGGACGAGGTTCTTACAGGTTCTTGCGTAGCATTTAGAGCAATAATCGGATGAGCGGGTCTAATGGAGACAGATTTTGTAGAACTTGACTTTCATTGGGTACTCATTCATAAACAGTTGGCGGCGTTTTCCCGTTACAGCACGATGTTTTAGGTATGTGAGTAATGAGCATGTCTGGAGCTTGATGTTCTAATCTCGCCAAACGTGATCCCCACTATGGATTGAATGATAGCCTCCCAGATGGTTAGGCCGTGCCAATGAAATTTATAAATGCTGTCGATAACACTAAAATAGGACAATGGCCGGCCATCATACATCATGCATCGCTTCGTTACATGGGCAATTGAGACGTTAGTATTACATACCAAATGATAAAAGCAAAGGTGTAGATTTTAACTCCGTAAATGTTTAGTGAATAATACGTGGTAAGGCTAAAGAAACTAACCTCTGAACATTCTAGGTGGGCAGAACAGTTAAATAGATCATGTACATGGGCTCTAGGGGAAATTTCATCATTCTACTTCCATTAATTCTTAGACCCTTTCCTTTCCCTCCAACGCACACATTTTGCTTCTGTGCTGTGCTGCCTCCTTTTTCTGCTCTTTCGGTTGACTGGCTAGTGCTTCTGGCGGCCTTACCTTGATCGCGAATGTTCACGGTTGGGTTAGTGGTCCTATAGAAGTGCCGGGTCATCTGTCCTTCAGCTCTGCGATTGAGAAATAACCATCGTGCATCGCGGACCCCGCGTTGAGTTACCTCTGCTAGTTAGGTCACGTCCTGGTGGCATATTGTCAATCGCATACTGACCTGTCGAGTCGAAGTCTCGAAGCGGATCGCTGTCGTTAGCCAGAGGCCTGGAGCGCTGGGCGTGGGAAGGTTGAGGAGTTAAGTTCCGAGGTTCCTCTTCATGAACGGCAGGTAACTGTTGTCTTTCCAGGTCCCCAACTACTCCCGGAGAATACTCCCGGGTCTTAGGGCGTGGAACCTTGGACCGAGCCATTTCTGTGCTGCGAGAACCGAGGGCTTCCTTTAACGGCTTGAGCTCGATACTAGAGTCTTTAGCGAGACCAGGGTGCAAAGGGGTTTCAATCAGCCAATAGTTTGACACTGCTCTGGGAGGAGGGCCTTCGTGTGCACCATCATGGTCAGGAGGGATGGGATCCTCGGGGATTATCTCGACTTTCCTACCATCTAAGCCTACGTACGTGAAAGGCTTCCGGAGAACGGCCGCTGGAGCAGGCACGGGAAGTACTGGAGTTTTTGCGGTGGATTTCGGGGTCGTTGACCGTTGGCTTTTGGTGCTAGCATCATCATTGTCTGAGAATAACTCCGGGTGCGCTCGTTTGAAGGCCTTGTGCTCCTGCACCGTGTAGTTAGCTCGGCGAAGACGGACTATGAAGACGCAGATGGAGAGGATGGAAAGGAGGAATAGGATGCCCAGGATGATGAGAGCTGTGATGAAGAGGAAGCTTTTCATTTGGCACCCCATGAGGGTGAGGTCGGTTTCGGGGGCTTCTGGAGTACCGGCCATTGTTAACAAGGCTGGGTATGGCTCTGATAAGCGGGTTTACCTGCAGGTGTTTCGACGTTTGTGGTATGTGTATTGGGAGGTGTTGACTGGATGTCTTGAGGGGATGTGTATTGGGAAAGAGGTTAGGTGGCTATGACCCTGGGGAATCGACGGGCTTTAGTACTCGGGCAACCTTTGTGTTGCGTCTAAATCAAGTTTGGGTGCTTCAGGAGCGTATATAGATTACAAAGTCATTATAAAGGTTTCAAAGAGGGAGAAGCTCTTGGTATCACAAAGGCTGGGAACAAAGGAGGTTTTCACTCAGCATATAGGAGGTGACAAAGACCCCTTGTTTTGGTGATAATGCCATTGTCGAGGCTTTTGTGAAGACATCTCTGAAACACTCGCGAGGAGGTACAAAAAAAAAAAAAACCGGGCTGGACTGGTGAAAAGTTTCAACCACGTCCAAGTCATGGAATCAAGGAAGAATTTGGCAATATGGTTGAATTTCAGATATTGCCAACCTATGAAGCTTCAAGAAGCGAAATCTACCATCAGCTAAAAAGGTCGGGAATTCCTCCCATTTCATCATAAGCCTACTTGCTTAAGCTTCAACCCCGGTCTTGCTGCACTCAAACGATATTAAACTCTTAGGGCGCAATCTCGTCCAGTTCGGTCGACGACTCCTGATCTATGTAATACCACTTTGTTGATACCCTGCACTGTTCGGGCTGACGGAGATCGTCGGAGAGTATTCGGCGACGAGGGGAACGTCGAACAACCCTCTACGAGGCCAGTGTCCGGAGATTCAACGTCCTAGATTTTATCTCCCATTTTACACTTCCATGTTTTGGCTGACCTCTTTAGACGAACCGACTCTGGGAAGTGGTCATTTTCGAATATGATGCTGTAGAGCCGTATTTAGCGAGCGTGGCATCGGTAGAGGATGCTTTTCTGACCAATTCTGCGATTATCCGTCTGTAATCCGGTTGTTGGCAAAAAAGATCCTTGGATTTTCGGAGGAGAGGCTGCTCTGACTCTGGGTTGGAGTATCTGACTGGCTCTCCTCAAGATCATCTGGGCTGCTGTTACCCCGCCCCATCGACGATTCGACGAAACGAACTAGGGGGCCGAGGATGGCCGATCAAAGGAACGATAGACGTTCTGACCCGCAATGTCAAAATGGTGGCTCGACACATCATGAAAAAGGAGCGGCGGCTCAAAAGTGGGTGGAATCAGGTGCAAATCGCCTCCAAGAAAGACACCGATGCCACCTTGAAGATCATTGACATAATTAGGAAACCCTTGATGAAGGGGTTAATCGACCATCCAAGTACTCGAAGACTAATTATAGATTTCTCATCAAAGATTAGGTGCTTCCCCCCTCGGAGCCTATTCTCTGCTGTAGAGAGGTTTGTTTCGCTGTGGGGAGAATGCGAGGGATTTTTGCAGTGGTCTTGTTTTCAGCGGTATCTAAGGTGTGATTGGTGTTTTCGGCGGTGGGTAGTATATGCAGGACCTCTGTCCTTTTCTGCCGGGTTCCACCGCCTTGGGCTTGCATAAAGGTCGACCTGTGACAGGTGGTCGCGTTTCGCAACACTTCTCTGGAGCTGGGATACAAGAATTAGTCAGCTAATGAGAAATAGTAAAAGTGTTGATGTAAAAAGGGGTTCCACTCTTCATTCCACTCTTCATTTAACTCTCCTATACCTACTCTTCATTCCACTCTTCAACTCTTCATTCAACTCTCCTATACTTTGTCAGAGCCGAGCAGCACAACCCAACAACATAAACAAGACTATACCACCCGCCCACAGGAATAACTGGCAGTGGCTAAGAGCCACGCAGCGAAGAAGAAATGGTCCAATAGTCGTTGGAATAGTCTAGTAGACAAGCAGGACATCGAGAAGTCAACAATCAGTCGAAATCTACATTATAAGACATTACATCCAAAGAAAAGAAAAGAAATATAAGATAGAAAAGAAGTAGTACTAAGAATATAGTAAAGGAATAACCTTTACAACAACTCACTAGCCAATAGGAAACAACTAATTGCTCGCTGCTGCAATGTCACCCTTCGCCTTCTTCTGCGCTACTGTTCTTCCCTAAGATCTATTCTATAAAATTAGGGGCTGCTATTGCCTTTTATGTGTAAGTGAGGGTCAGATGTGTAGCACTTCGGGCTTCCGTGGCGGCACCGATCCGCAATGTGGCGGTGCTGTCGCCAGTCGCCCTACGCACCAATACATGCTCTTCATTCCACTCTTCATTCCACTCTTCATTTCACTCTTCATTTCACTCTTCATTTCACTCTTCATTCCACTCTCCATTCCACTCTCCATTCCCAAATTAAGTCATGTCTTTTACCCATCTATATTATTTACCCTATGATGCCCTTAGCCTTCTTCTGGTTCCACTACTGAGTGCTAAGTTGCCAGTCATCTATAGGCGGCTCGTTACACCGCCCTTTTGACACCAACATCAAGTCGCTCGTAGAGTTCATGGCAAGAAACACCTGTTCTCCTGCTACCTAGTGTCCGACCGGAGCTTCGCGGTCACCGCCGCTGCCTTGGGCGATCTCGTTGGGAAAAGGGAGTAGAGTTGGAATTGGACCGATTGCCTTCGCGCATTCTCGAAGTGTTATACTGCAGGTAGCCTGCTGAGTAAGGTGTTGGGTTCCTGGCCCTTCCCAGGAGACCTTTTTGTAAGGATATCTGCTCGCAGAAGCTCGAGAAGGCCGCATAAGGCCAAGTGCCGCTGGACGCGATACTTGAAGCATCTTTGGGTGTGAGATGCTCAGCCGTAAGTGGGTGAATCCCGACATTTGTGGCTCGGAGCGCATTCCCGATGACAGCCCACTCCGAATTGAGTTTCAGTACGGGGGCTGAGACCGCCACGAGAAAGGGTGATATTTGCTCTGCCATTTGGTGAAGCCGTGTTCACCTCTTCCTCGATGCGATTTCCCGGTGGGGGTTTGGAACACTTGTTCGTCCTACGATAGCCCACGACAGAACGAGTTGCCATCCATAGCGTAAAAATCAAACCAGACAAGGCAGGGAGAATACAGGAGGGGTGGTGAATGGCAAATGATTGTCGATGATTGCAAATGTGAGGTGTGGGAACTGAAATCGATGTGCATTATTGGGAAAGGTTCTAAAACAGGAACCCCTTTCCAGGGAAGAACTAAGTAACGCGGGCGGTGGAGGTTCGGCTCTTCCTTCCTCCAGTGGCAGGCAGTTCAACATTCGGTTGTCTTGCGATAAATACAGGAGGAAAGAAAGGAAACAAATCATTTCCTCACTCTCTCTGAATCACTGGATAGATCGTGCCTTTCGAGAATGTCTCTTTGTGGCATCCACTTTACTGCCTTGGCCTCTGCCCAGAAAACACAATCTTGTTAGCATTAGCAAAGAGAAATGGCGAGGGAGGGAACAACTATACTCTGACCACAATTTCGTCCTCGGGGATGCCGCATCGGCGCGTAGGCCGTCAAGATATCGGCAGGTTTTGGATATTAGCGTTTTGGGGTGGAGTTGGCAAGATTTATCGAGATGCGAGTCGTTGCTGTCCAACAACTCCAATGCGAAATAAATTTCGAGCCACTGCCTTCGGCCATGGGTCCGGCGGTAGTTTTTGCAGAACAAAGCGTAAGATACTCCCAATATTCCTAGACCAGTCGTATTTCCCTGTTTCTGGGGTTCCAAAATGCGGTCCTTTCGAAGGTCAGAAAGCAGGATTAGATGACGTATCGGCGGACTTCCGAGCCGCACAGGCCTAGGGATGTTCGGGAGTTGGAACCTCGCGTCTGTAGCCAGCGCACATCAGGAAGAGTTCGATCACGAGGGGAATCTGCTTACCAGATGTTCAACATCGGACTCCATGTCGACTGCTGGGTAATGATATGAGTGGAGGGTGACCATCGCAGGAGCTTTGCGCATTTTGACTGATGACCGATTGGGGCAGCGGCCAGCATCGTTGGACGAATCGCCGCTCCTTCCAAAAAGCCTAGTCAGATTCAGAAAGAGGCTACTTGGCTCGGAAAGAGCCGAGACATCGACTCACTCATCCATCACTTCCATCCTAGGCTCATGATTCAGACCGAATCATAGCTCGGAAGGAACACTGAGAGTGAGCTCTGCATAAATAGGCGCATTTTCCCTCTAACAATCCTCTACCTTCATCCCGTTTTTACCCAGTTCGTCACATCCATCAGTCATTTCTCGCCGCTATCCTCAGCAAATTCTCCATTATCAAGGCTTTCTCCCAACAAGGACGGGTCTTTGACTGCGGATGTAGTCGTATCCGTCAACCCTACCGTGCCATCAAGCCCTCTCTCAATCTCTGTAGATACAAAATATCATGGCTCCCAGGACCAGGTTACTGACGCGCCCACAGGCGCAGGAGGTTCTCATAGGCCTCATCGGGCGGATACCCCCACATTGGTTCGACAACTATTGGGGGAAGGCTATCGTAGGTGTTATTAAAGCCGTCGCCATTTGTGGCGCCGACGTGGACATCCCCCAGCATTCTTTAACTGTGGATCTACAGGAAAAGATTAGGTCTGACCCACCTATAAAGCCTTCCGTCTATCAGATGTGGGCTGGTCTCATCCTCGGTTGGGACGAGGAATCAAGGACATTCCCCGAAGATTTGTTGGACGCAATATGTTAACAAATGGAATGATATGGTCAATATCAACCCGTCTCGAAAGGACGCTGCGCCACACATTATACACAGCACCATGGACACCTTTTCTGACTGGATGAATCACGACAGTCACTTCTTGGGACTGTTCTACGGGGATCGTCAACTCGGCGGGCTTAAGTCGGACACTGCCAGTTACTTTCGATACCTCGTCAATGCTATTGTGGTCACTGAAGTAACCGAAGAGGCCATCAGCTGGGTCTTGCCCGTCGATATAGACAAGGCACCGGGAGACTTGGAGGCCATGCTCTCCAAGCCGCTCCAGCTCGAAGCCTGGCCACTACCATCGAAACCAGCACTACCAGAGAACGAGCGCCCTAGCCCTAATGGCAGCCGGGTGAGGAAGCACGGCAAGTTCCTGGAAGATACGGTGCTCGATTTGCTGGAGAATGCCGTACGGTGGGAGGATTTCGACCAAGTAGCCAAGAAGGCCAGAACTTTGGAGACGTGTCTCGCGAATAACCCACCACACGATCTAGAGTTCGAAGAACGGCAGAAACAGGCCAGAGAGCGGCGGGCGCAGAAGTCACTGCAACTCAAAGATAGTTTCGAACAGACATCTCATCAGAGTGAAGAGGAATAGGGCGACGCATGAACCTCTAATATTCGAGAAGCAGTCCTAAGGATTCTTTTTTTCTTTGTCGTTCGGGGGAGTGTTTCGTCACTTAGTATCGAGATCCCCCTGAGATGCAATAGACTCTTACGTTCATCAAATATACAAACCTTCCTCTAAGCAATTCTAAATGGCCGAGAGTGAGCTCAGCGGGATTTACCAGCACAATGATTCCCTGGTCCAATCTGAATCTCGATTCAATAAATATTAGGCTGCGATGATCTTCTTAAAACATGTGTACTATTAAACAGTAACGTCTCTTCTTTCCGCCGATCAGCTTCAAGTGTCTCGACCGTTGTTTATAAATCCAAATCTCAACCAGCCTTAGACATATCTATCAAGTCTTACTCCAATGCGCGAAATGTCATCTATTCCATATCCGGACTATGGTTCCAATTCAACTCTCAACGGACTCTTGATCACGGTTCACCACCCTCCCTCAGTCCACAGATGATTGCCACGTGCCTCTGTAACCGAGTCTCCAATGCAGGCATTGATCCCCCCACTCCATCAGAACAAATGAAAGAAACCAGACCAAGCCGCATCTGGGAGTTCGTGATTTCTAGAGTCGAGTCGTGATGCCGTTTCCCAAGAGGTGGGGTTAATGACGTGCTACGGACCCCTACCCAGGATATGCAACATATTTTCTCAGAGAACACTTAATTCGACTTCGGCAAATGGGCCAATTCCATTTTTATTGGAAGTTTCCACCCACGCTGCGCGTTTTCATACCAGGTATGCCATGTATGCCGGAAATATCGTGCTGTCTCCGCCATGTTAACCCCGGCCGAAAAGACAGGGCCCTCACGGGTTAGGTTGGCATTTGGGCGATGCTCGCTTACAAATTTCAACAGCCTCAGCTTATTCCAATATTGATTCCGCCAGAACACATCCACAAGGGGCTATCTACCCAAGTAGGCACGATAGCCATGACATTAGAGGACTGTATCCCTTGACCATTGGGTCCCAGTGTTAGGTATAGCACGGCTTTCGCTTTCCCTAGCCGGACGACGAATGGCCCGGCACAAGGATGTCTTCATGGCCTACCCAAGCTCGCGATACCCACAGGCGGGGACCGTGTCCGTCGTATCAAGGTATCCATTTATTCATAACTCGCGGTCAAATGATAACCGCGCATGTCGTCTGGGAACCCCCACGGCCAAGGTGGTAACGGTTTACCGGACATGTAACCGAGGTATTGGTGCCGGACCACCCCTCCCGAGTTGGAGGAGCTCTTTGGCTAAGATAGCGGTAAGTTCAAGGTGGGGAAAGCAGGATGCACTACTGAAATGGCGCGACTCTGCGTCCGGACATGGACAATCAGGGCGCCGGTTCCGGCACGGGGGCCCATCCGGCTTTTGTGTTGCAGTGATACGACCTTGCCTATCATCACGTCAACAGTCCCTGTCTAGCCATGATTGCATTGGTCGTGATTTACCCCCAGCGGATTCCAGCAAACTCTATGATGTTGGTGAAAGAGCACTCACTATGGTGCTGGATCTACTTCCTACCGGGCAATGTCGACACGAGAACTCATGATGACACCACCGCGTGTATTATAAACCCATGCGTATTTCAAGGAGCCGATCTAACATTATATATGTATCAAGATAGGTTCGTCTCCATCCAGCATTACCGTGGCTCAACCCCGATAGCAGTCAGCTTCAACTCTTGAAGCCTTTCTATACTCAAGCCTCCCCTTCGCATATCATCTATTGTTCTAGTCTTCCCTAAATGTCGGGACTTCCACCTACCCATGGCACTCGGCCCGTTTCCCCCAAGGTGACCGGCCTTGATGACAAGGATATTAAAGCCACCGAACCGCCTCCAGCTAATCCTAGCAAGTACAATGACCATGGTACAAGTGAACAGTCCGGCAGCGATGAAGACATTGAAGGGTACGGCGAGAACCCGTTTTCAGATCCGACCAAAGCGGCATACTGGAAAGAGGTATACGAGAATTCTCGGTATGAGTGTCGACATGTTTTTGACCCTGATATCGCTTGGTCGCGCGAGGAAGAGAAAAAGATTGTCCGGAAGCTAGACTGGCACGTTTGTCTATGGGCTGTATGTGTGTATCCTCCCTTGGTTAAAGTACGAGCCTACTACTAACAGCTTCTTCAATTTTTCACAGTGCGTCATGTTCTTTGCCCTGCAAGTGGACCGAGGGAATCTCAGTCAAGCGGTATCTGACAACATGTTGGACGATCTCGGCATGAACACCAATGACTACAATTATGGAAATATGGTCTTTCTTGTCTCTTTCCTCTTAGCTGAGCTTCCCTCGCAACTAGTTTCTAAGGCCATCGGCCCTGATAGGTGGATTCCAACTCAAATTTGCCTATGGTCCATAGTTGCCGCCGCACAATGCTCCCTGAAAGGAAGGGCCAGTTTTCTTGCAACGAGATCTCTGCTTGGACTCCTAGAGGGCGGATTCATCCCAGATCTCGTCCTGTGGCTGAGTTACTTTTACACCTCGCGGGAACTTCCGATTAGACTTAGCTACTTTTGGACTACTCTGTCGGTCACCGGCATCGCCACATCCCTCTTGGCTTTTGCCCTGCTGCACATGCGGGGCATCAACGGCTGGGGCGGATGGCGCTGGTTGTTCCTGATTGAAGGCCTCATTACCCTCACCATTGGAATCGCGTCCTTCTTCCTGATGCCGGCCTCCGCCGTACAGACGAAGACGTGGTTCCGACCCAAAGGGTGGTTCAACGACCGTGAAGTGCGCATCGTCGTCAACCGCGTGCTTCGGGACGACCCGTCCAAGGGAGATATGCACAATAGGCAAGCAATTACGCCAAAGCGCCTATGGGAAGCCCTCAAGGATTACGACCTCTGGCCTCTATACATTATCGGCTTAATCGCATACATGCCGCAAGGACCGCCAGCCAAGTACCTCACACTGAGCCTGCGCTCCATAGGATTCAGCGCGTTCAATACGAACTTACTCACGATCCCTGTCAGCGTTATTCACATGATCAATTTGCTCCTCATCACGCGCCTGTCCGAATGGCTCAATGAGCGGACCTTCGTATCCATGCTGCAACCCTTGTGGACGCTACCTTGCATGATTGCCTTGCGTTGGTGGCCAGGTCTGGTAGACAATAAATGGGGAACTTACGGGCTTATCGTCAGCCTGCTCTCTTATCCATATTGCCACGCTATCTTGGTTGCATGGTGCTCGAGGAATTCCAATAACGTGGCAGCACGGTCTGTCTCTGCAGCCTTATACAACATGTCCGTCCAGCTCGGCAATGTTGCCGATTCGTTCATTTACAGAGAAGATGACAAGCCTTACTACCACCGAGGAAACATGCAACTGGTAGCTATTAACTTTGCTGCGATTGGGGTATTTCTCCTGACCAAAGCCTGTGAGTATAACCACTGCAAAATATCCTTGGCAGAATGAATGCTAATCGCTCTATTCCGCTTGGAAAGACTACGTTTATCGCAACAAACAGCGTGATCGAATTTGGAATAGCATGACTCAGGAAGAGCGTGACGACTACGTGAAGAATACCAAACTAGTGGGCAGTCGCAGGCTGGATTTTAGATTTGCTCACTGAATATCGATGAGGCCTGTTTATCCAAGGTCTCTTAGCACTCAGCATCATCTGCTGTTCCTTGAGAACCAGAGCAATAAGGCCGCGGAGGACCTAATAAGTTGCAACAGTTTCATCCGCCTCTTGTACTAGAATCGGAAACAAGTGGCGGATGAAGGCCAACACGTCAAGCGTCGCTGACAGAGGTATAGGCTTTTAGCCTCTCATCTATCTGTATCCTATCCATACTTAGCTTGCGACTAGAATCGAACCTTGAACCAGTGATATAAACCGTGAGGTCCACGTGACTCTACAACTGGGGACGCTCATTCTGTATGTTTTTATGACTTCAATGGTCCTCCATAAATCCACTCAGACATTATAGTCTGTGCAGTACAATATTGTAAGATATACACCCCTCTGCCAGGCCAGTAATGGACGAACCAGGTAAGTCAAGACCTCATCCGTCAAGAACTGTGAATTGAATGGTCCGGATTACTACGACCGCGTTCCCATCTTTCCCATCATCACGATAAAGATATCCCGCAGGGTTACTCATATCATCGCAAATTAAAATAGCAGTGGCCGTCGCATGGAACATCCCTTGGTCATGAAGCAGGTTAATATCACACGTTACTCTCACGCTGGGTTGAAGTGTATCATGCTCGTTTTTTTCATGTTAACCTATAACGTTTTCCTCTCTTCACTGTGTTGACCGTTTCTTAAAAATCGACAACCGGCCAATACTAATCCGACCCAGCCTCAACCTCATGATTGCGATCAAGAGCGCACTCACGGCAGCCATTGCTCCGGCCCAGAAAATTGCTGGGCGATATGGTTGGAAACCAGCTTCTCTTCCACCAAAGGCGTCGAGCATATAACCCGCGATGGGAGCACCCTTTTCGGTGATAGAGTCATTAGCATGGTGAGCGCTAAAGATAACGTTGGAATCCTTTCAAAGGGCCATAGTTACCATTGTGAAGCCTCCAACCCAGCCTGTGACAACGAAGCCCATGGCCGTGGCCACCCTGTTGGAGCCAAAAACATTCCCCACCGTCGTTGGCATCGCCGAAAAAAACGCGCCGCTCGATGCACCATTTATGATAACGAAAGCAATCAAACTCGCTGCCGAGGTTGACAAGGGCCACAGAATCAGTATGGTCAGCGCATTGAGCATCAGTGCCGACAGAAGCGTGTTAACCGCTCCAAACCTGTCACTCAGCACTCCTGACAGAATCCTCCCCACCGCCGAGGCGAAGTTAAACCCCGCCACCAGCAACGCGCCGATCTTCATCTCCATCCCAAGGGAGCGGCTGTAGAGCGGTATGAAGAAAGGCGGGACGAGAAGAGGGAAGGAGCCGATGGCGCCGGCGGCGAAGAGAAGACAGAAGTTGACATTTCGGAAGATTCCCCAGTCTATGGATCGGCTCGGGGGTTTCCGGCGTTCCTGGACGAGCCAAGCAGCGGGAAGCCCGGTGCCGAGGATGAGGAAACCGAGGATGCGGAAGGTCCATGCGGGACCGACGTTGTCGACGAGAGAACCCATGGCAAGGCTCGTAACTGCGCCTCCGAGGCCACCGGCTGCAAACACGATGCCATTGGCGAGGCCACGCTTCTTCGAGAACCACTGAGCAGGTGCGACAGATGCAGTCTTATCAGTAGGTCAGTCATGCGTTCGTTGTTGTACGTATCCAGGGACGGTATCGGCCTAGAGCAAGGCTTACCATAAACAAAAGGCCATTCCCTATTCCAAAGACTACCCCCGCAGTTGCAAACAGACCACCGACAGCGTGGGTCGTGAATCCCGCGAGGATCTCACCCAATCCCAGCATGGTGATACCTATCATACAAGTGTACCGCGAACCAAGTTTCCCGCTTATTTTAGCAGTGATAAGAGCTAAGGCTGAGACTAAGGAGGTAGCCACCGAGCCGACAAAGGAGAGAGATGCGGCTGATGCGATACCATCTTCCACGAGTGCGCTCTGGATGACTCCCCAACTGTAGCTTGTGCCGATGAACCAGTACGTCAGTATCGAACACCCCAAGACGACAACCCAGCCGCGGCCTCCATCGGGAGCTTCGAGATCTGCTAGACGCGATGCTTCTAGGATGGGATCGTCTTTGATAGACCCTCGCGGCGATGATTCTGTACTGCTGTTGAGCTCGCGCTGTGTGATGGATCCTTCATTGAAAATCTTAGCCTGGTGTGAAGTGATTGTGGTAGCCCGCACCGGGCTCGTTATTACCGTCGTCATCGACATGGTTGTCACTTCTGGCGATCGAAGATTGCTAGTTCTAAAGGTTTGGCCGCGATTGACACACTATTAAAAGCCATAATGCTCATGGTTAAAGGCTCCATGATATATACCCACGCTAGTCGATTTCGACGCTTTCGTCATCTCAACGCTACTATGATTTATCGGCCAATTTACGACAGAAAATTCTTTCATTGTCTCCATCAGACCGCATATCTTCCCTAGCCTGGTAGCACGTTGATGAAATTCCTTGTCTCGAAGTGCCGGACTTCGTGAAGGTCGGTCTAAGACCAGTAAAGCCGATGTTTGCCGCGCCGCGGATAGCCGGCCGAGATCCAACGCCAACATTCAAAAGCGCGATGAGTCCCCCCATTTCAACGCCATTTCGACGGGGATCGTCAATCCGGGTCCACACCTGGCAACAATAGAGTTATCTAAATGGCCTTATCTCTTCTTTCTTCCCCACAATGGGATCGATTTCGCCATGGCGGAATTTTCCATCCTTCTCGGCCTTGCGTCCCGACGCAGCGTTCCGCGGTGATCCACTGTTCGGCCCAGCTTTGAGGACCCACCGTCTCGAACGACACATGTCGACGCCGCCACTTCTACTGGCTGTTCGCACGCTTCCAAGGCATCAGCTAACGTTTGAGGTCCGGGTTCCGTGCTACGCGGACAAAAGTTCGGTCCGAACCAACCGGAGGTTTTGGGGGTTTTTGGAGAATGCCGATCAAGCACGACAGATCAGTGAACAGGTCATCAATGGATCAATGTTTACGAACAAGGGACCCGCCTAGGCTCACTACTCAAAAACCCGAACTGCGTCGTCCGATGAGGCCGAGTTGGCTCGGGACGAACCTAGTAAGTTGACAGTATATCCCACGTCTCACTTTGCTTCGTAGACGAAAACTACGAATCTATGTTACAACTCCCGAAAGGGATCTCTCCATTGTAGTCTCCGAAGGCGACAATAATGTGTGAAAGGCTCAACTGGTCACCGATCTGAGAGGCTCTTTTCTACTGCTGTCTCATGTCTGGCCCAATCCTCCAAGCTTCTATCGCATTGCTTCTTCGTTCGTACTTCTAGAGTACGAGGCCCCAAACTTATCTCAAGACAAGCCCAATCGATTCCGTCAGCGACCAGCAGACTGGGCATTCCGCTCCGAATTGACTCCATCAAATCCTTGCGAAGGGTCCGGCACCGGATGGTAAGGCGGATATTAGAACCCGTTTTAGGAAAAGTGCAACTGGCTGCCCAACGCTTCAACCTAACCCAACCTCACCTCAAATCTCCACCACCAACCCCCAAAGAGGATCAAAAAAGACCCGTGGCTGGAACAGCCGGAATTCGTCATCTAGCTACTGACAGTTTGTCAGGGCCGGGGAACACAACCCAGGGTTCGTAGCGCATAACCCGGTCTCGTCGAATAAACAGAAATCGCACTAGCACAATGGTCACGCAACAGTCGTAACAACCTCGCATGGTCGTAGGGAATGTGACGATCAATGGGAGACAGCGTCGTACAGCATCACTGGAAGGAAACAGAAGTAAAGCAATAAGAAGCATAGTACTGAAAAGTGAAATGAAAATAAGGAATGACTCGCTGCGAAACAGCTCTCGTAGATTAGGGAAACGACTGATCACCTCAAGTCGAATGCGTCCCATCTTTCCGCATGCATAACTGTCTGACTTCCTGGATTCCTCATATCTCCTATATCTGTGGTAACTATCCTGCTCTTATATGTGAAAGAGAGGTGGAATGTGCGTCTCTGTGGCTTTTGTCGTGGCGTGCGGCTCTTTCCACGTCGCTCCCCAGAGTAACATTTTGGGTCCATGGTGAAATCAGCAAGATTGTCGTCGGGGTTCGACAACCTCAACACAAAATAAAGTGAAGACTGGCTGTCGCCTTCGGCCATATTTAGGAAGTAGCTTATCGACACAAAGCACAACAGGTATAGTCAAGAGCAGATGTAGGTAGTAGGGTATCACTCATCACTAATCCCCTTCTTATTCCTGATAATAGGTTAAGTTTAACCCGACTTATCCTCCATTCTCACTCTCTTATAGCCCTCTACAAGCCCTTATAATAGCTACCATTCCCTTCATTCATTTCAAGGTTTGATGGAACGGGGGTGGAGGATGGAGAAGAGGGAAATGGCCTGGGGAGGCGGTAACGAGGCTCTTGTTGGAAATCGGGTTGAAGTTGAAGCCTTGCATCCCCCCGATGAATATTCAGCATAATCATTTCTCTCTTGACAGGCAAGAGACATAGGCAATGCCACTTGTCAGGGACTCTCATAGCTCTTATGTCCCAGGATTGGAACGCATTGATTGGGCCATTGATGGACATTAAGGACCCCCAATTCAAGGATAAATACATATATTAGTTTCAAGTTGCGTGGGAAGGTTAGGAGGGATTGTAGCGGGAAACTATTAACTCCTGGATTGAGGAGCTCGCTGGGGAAGGTAATGATAATCCTCGATTCCGTTCTTGAGTGGGTATTTCAAGGGTGATGTCGACAACGCCGGGAAGTCTAACTGTATTATGCCTCTGTAAAATATCTTGCGTTTGAGGTATCGATCGTTCGCGGGCTACTAATAGTCGATGATCTTCACTCTCTGCACTAGAAATAGTAGGGGACTAAAAGGCTACAAGTGCTCACAAGTCTCACGGCAACTCTACTTGCCTGGCTTTGATGTCAGCTTACGCCTCCACAGGGGTTCCAAGAGTTGTCGGGACTTGGGAGTCAGCAGCCACCAACACTTTTGGTCAAAGACCCGAGGGGGTTCTCGTCGAGGCTCCTTCACGCGTGTTCTCTCGCCTATAGAAATGGACCCATCAGCCCTGTAACCTTCGTATGACAATAAGCCAATCCTTCGTATGCAAGCCGTCAATATTGAGATGACGAAAGGAAAGAGAAATAGCTTCATACGACTAAAAGTGCCATTTCAAGGCAGGACCGGGGTATGTCAGCACAGCAATGTGACGCCAAGCCTGTAAGAGGGAGGATCCCTTCATCAGCACAACTTTTCGGGTGTTGGCCAACCAGGCTGCGCCGGAGCGTATGATTATCACTAATCCTGAAATGTTCCCTTCCAAGTATACATCGGTAGATCAGCATAGGCAGGTTCACGGTGAGGCAACTAGGGCTGTCCCACGTTGGGGGTCGATCTATTTGGCTAGAACCCAAGGTCAAGGAACTATTGAAATCCCGCTCGTAGGATTCTTTGTATTAGTGTCTACGAAGTATGAGGAGGACGATGATCAGCAGCATGGGCAGTATGTCTACACTCCGATTGCCCCTGCCAAAACTATGTATAAAGCTTCAAACTCCCCCTTCCGGCTTGTTAGTAAAAGGTCAGCAACGCCATAGAACCTCGAGTCCAGCAGTTCTTGCCTTGATCCTTAACCCTCTTACACATTGTCAATTGCTATCCACTCTTCTGCTCGTCAAGCTTTCACCATGATTTCCGTCCAAAGGATTTTTCTCCTAGCCTTGATTGGCTCCGTCCAGGCCTCTCCTCTCGCTTCCGCAACTTCTTCCTCCGAAGACCCTACACCCGTTGATGACTTCGCTCCACCCGTCTTCCCCGAAGGTTCCATCGACATCAGCAACAACACGGACCTAATCAATGAACTAAGGGTCCAGTACGGGTTAGAGGTAGCTGAGGAGGCTCCTTCGACCCCCGCAACCTCGGGCGGCATCACGATTATGTCCGGGGCCTGTGATCAAGGCACATGCCCCGACTACGACAAAGCGTTCGACACGGTCTTCACCTGGATCGCTATCCCGCAGCCGGGCGAGGGAGGCGCTCCCCCAACCACCTTGTTCTGGATGGACCAGGATATGCGCATCAACGACTGCGACAAGTGTTATCGTAAGAAGATTGGCTCGGGCGGGTGGGACGTCGGTGGATGCTACGACTTGACTGCTTGCAATCGCCCTCAGTCAATTTGTGTTGATCCTCTCAACAGACGCGCCCACCGCATCTGGAAGGACAATGGCGTCAAGAAATGCTACAGGATGGGTGCAGTCGACTTGGGAGGCTGCGGAAATATCGTAGAGCGTTTCATTTGGCGCCCTGAGGCGGAGGTTGCCTGCAACTGGTGAAAAAGGCGCCCTACGTAGTGGTTGGCAAGGGGAGGAGGCAAGTCGACTGAGAACTGCTAGGGCAAGGAAGGCGATTCTTGAGTGACCGGCTGGTTTAAAGTATGGCCGTGTAGCGAACAGTGGGCGTGACTTGACTAGCCCTGTTCCTAGACAGAGATACCTTCTTTTCTTTGTTTGGATCGCTGTTAAAAGCTCACAGGACGGACGCAAAGGAAAAACCAGCAGTACATTAATCAAGACCATCACCCAATGCGCCCTCTTCATCGGCCAGATCCATCCTGACGTGACAAGTAATTGATTACGTAATGGGGCGTCTGCCGAGTAAAATAATGAGCCGGACGAGATGCATCAGGCTAGGGAAGGAAGGGAAAGGGGGGAAGAGAGGGGGGGGTTTGTTAATATGTGGGATATTGGAAGACCCAGTTCGAGTAGAACTGATGCCAAGTTCGGAGGATTGCCACGATATCGTATCCGCGCATCGGGTCGGCCGGGAGCTAGTCAGATGGCGTCGAATACAGGCCGGGATCGATCCGGGCTGTGCCGCTCACACAGGGGTGGAGAGCGACTTCGTAGATCTGCCTGTCAGCCTGGTAAGTCAGCCCAGTGGCTGTTGGCGCTAGTGACGCTTGTAAGCTCGCGAGGTCACATTAGAGGCAGATCCTTGAACATCAGGCGCGCTTTGAGGGGCACCGAAGCTAGATGTAAAGTCCCCTCTTTCATCCACCATTGGGCAACATCCGCTCTGGCAGCGGCGGAATGTCGGTCCTTTGGCCAATCTGCAAGGCTCCCCGCTCCCAATGCGACATTCCGCCCAAGCCTAGTGAGGTACCCCTAATTCAGGATCAGGGCGGCTTCGACCATGGGCAACAACACCCACTCAAGCAGGTAAGCCGTGC